CAATCAGTCCGAGAGAGATAAAAACCGAGAGTGAACAAAATCAGGTCAAAACTGGGCAGTTACACAGTGGACAAAATCCATTTGAAATAAATAGTAAATCAATTCCAAAATTCTGAAATTTGGATATGTTGTACAAAACATCTCGATGAACATTTTCCATGAAGAACTAGAAACCCAGTTCTAACCGTAATCACCTCGTTTTGACACTCAAAATCAGACGAAATCCGGTTCGCTCGGACAGCTCCTCAGGCCATCAAAATACAACTCATTCGGTACCCAAATCATTTTGGAAAACCTTGAAATTTTTATATGTTATATCCACAAATGTTCCCAACAATTTTTGTGAAGGAAGTATTTTGAAAATAGGCCTGGAAAAATTTATAAAAATTCGAACAGACCCGAAGGTCGGGTGAACAGTAAATCGGGCAGTTTTATTTCGGTCCAAAGATGGACTTCCGAATGGTATCAAATGATTTCCAAAAATTTCCAAATTAAAATATGTTATACTTAAAGATGTTAGGAACAACTTTTATGAAGAACACTTCTTCAAATTATGCCCACACAGGTCACACCAAAAATAACAAAATCCGGCGATGCAACAGTAACCGTACCGGAAATCAACAAATATGCATCACCAAGCAAACCAAGCTCAACAAACCACTAATCCAATTATCCACAGCCTTTAAACCATCCCTAAATCATCACCTTGGGCCATTAAAGTCACCACAAATTCAGCCCCAAATCAGCCCACACTAATTAACCCCTAAAATACCCTAATAACCCCTAAACTTGTCCAAGGTGCACACAAGCCTAATTAAGGGTTAGGTTTCCACTCACTTGGATTCCTAAGCTCCTTACAAGGCTGAACAAGTGGGGAAAATGGGTGGGCTGAGCCGATTCCACGGCGGCGCAAGCGGCGGCGACGGACGGCCTCCACAAGAAGACAAACGGCGGCGGCTTGCGACGGCGATCCACGGTGGGGCTGCTCACACGGCTGAGGAAAGGGAAGAAAGAGAGATGAGACTGCTGGTGATGGCGAGGTGGTGCGGGCGATAGCACGGCGGCGCGGCGGAGCTCCTCCGGTGAGGGCCTCTCACGGCCAAACAAAGAAGAAAATGAAGGAGAAGAAGGAAAGGAAAATGAAGAAGTGGCGTGGGAGGGGGAGTGCACGGCTGATGGGAGAGGAAAATGGGAGAGAGAGAGTGGTCAAAGGGGTCTTATGAGTCAAAAAGGTGTGTCACGTGTCGCGATCCTAGCTCTGACCATTTTGCACTTGATCTAACGGTCCATAATTAGCCCAATCTAATAATTGAGGGCAAATGGGTAATTCAATAATTCCAATTCCTTATTCACTTATTTTAATCCTCAATTATTGCCCAAAATTATTCAAAATTCGGAATATCCAAGACAGGTCCAGGGCAAACGGTAATTTTCCGATCCCGGCCGAAATTCCATTTTTCGACCGTACCGACCCCAAATGTGTGTGGCCACTCAAAATGACGTCGACCTCGCAAAATAGTCGCAAACACCCATAGAATTTCGACATCAAGTTCCGGTCCAATTGACGATCAAAATTGCTCAATGCGAATTTTAGAGCCTCTCACTGACGGGTGATGTTTAGGGTTACGCGTATCGACCTAGGGTCACTCGAGTCGTGACGGTCTCGACGGAGAACACAAGGAATTATTGGTTATTCCGGGGTCACGATCGTTCGATTTAGGTTCGGGATTTATTTGCCATGCGCACTCTGGCCGAGTGGAATCACCCACGATCCGATCGTACGTCGTTGGTCAAACCAAATCCGTCACCTTCCTAGAATCGGTCCACATTGGCCCAAAATACTTTCCCCGTTTCTTGGAATCGGCGCCCGATTCGCGATCGGTCCCATGTCCATGTACCGTTTTCCTAGTTAGCCTTTCCCATTGGTCGATCCCGCGATGGGCCACTCCGGCGAGACGTACTAAAATCAAATGAGAAATAATATCCACTTGGCTCTGGATCCCGAAATGAGTCGAAATTCAGGATGTTACAATCACTATTCTGATTCTATAAGCGATACAGGAAATCGTTGACATGAAATATTATCAGAATATTCAGAAGATAATATTGTCTATGTTCTTCCTGATTTCTCCTTTGTACTATAAATACACCCATGCATTTGTACAATTGATTTAATGAGCAACACAATCACAATTCTCCCATATTTCTCTACATTTTCTGTCATATGAGGACGGAATTTTTCCGCCACTTATTATGTTGGAAAAGAAATTAAGATAAACAATAAGGGGAATTATGAAGCTAATTACAGTTGCATTACTTGGATTTGGATTGAGAAGCAAGGAAGATTGGTAGGTCAAAATTTCTCCAGTTTCCATCGAGCTTTGACAATTCATATGTGCACTCTCGTTCTCTTTGCCCGAGATGATTAAAGTCTCCTCCAATACCAACTAATAAGCAAATTTTTTGTGGAGAGTTGTCATCTGTTCCTTTCTTTCTATTTTCTTTGTTTGGAGAAAGTGAAGGGATAAAGGGATAGGTTTTATTTTTTTCCAAGAAATGGAATAATCATTTATAAGCTGTTGATATTCTACAATCTATTTGTTAAACAAATACTAATTGTCCCTTAACGAACCTCTAAGCGGAAGCACAAAACCACAAAATTGAGGGAAGAAATTGAATTGAAGATCAAGGTGGTGATGATGATGATGATTGAGTTTTGGTAAATTAGGAGATTGGCTTTCGAACGTGGAATTTGATCAACTCCGATGGTCGACCACGCGCCGTGCAACTATTGCACTCGCACAAAATACTACCTCCGGACAAGAGGGTCTCCACAAACCGACTAGGACCAAGGAGAGAAGCTTAGTTGTTCCTATCCCGACGAGATGGCGAACCAGGATGAGCAATTGTGAAGTCGAAATTGCATATTTACAACAAACATAGTTTCTTATCCTAACCAGTTCGGGTCCAAGGTGGGCTGTCCAATCACCAAACATTGGAACTAAGAATCAAACTTCAATCCAAAACAAACAGAACCCAAACAGAAAGAAATCAATATAGAAAGGAAAAAGTGGCCAAATTGGCAATCTTAGAAGACAGCATTGCAGTCCTCAAGAATCAAAGATCAGATCACAACGAGATGATAACAAGGGAAGGCAACGTCAATCGTAAACGGCACGACGTTCTCTCCTTGAATCCTTTCTTATCTTGTCGACAGTCTGCAGTACAACCCCCCCGCAAAAATGGGAAATAACCATGTAGATTTTGCAACGAAAGGGCATGTGGGTCAGAATTGCAGCGGACGCAAAAGGGTTCAAAGAGGCCCAAATGCAAAGGCTTTGTCTGGGCTTTCTCTCTCTCTCTCTCGCTATCTCTCTTCTTCTTCAATCTTTGATTCGATGCCTTTAACTTTGGGTCTACGAAGCGATAAAATATTGGGTGGGACTGGTTTTCCACGTTATCCGAGTGGCAATGTGAGTCCCACTCTTTCTCCTCTCCGTCACTCTCTCTCTTCCCCGTTACTATTAACGTTACTGACCGACCTTCTCTCTTCTGCTCTACACTTTTTTCTTCTTCTTCGTCTACCTCCCATAGACCTATCAGTGCGATTCAATGAGCTATGCCTAGAACTTCGATCACGGCAAGAGATTGTCGTCGAAGCTTATTGCATGATTGATGTAATGCCGTAGTGAGAGAGCTATGTAAAGGAAATTGAAAGAAAAAAAAAAGAGAACGAGGAAGTGGAGGAGAGATCCATAATCGATGGAATAAAAGATCCACAGCTCTAGACCCCAATGGACTGAGTTTCTTGTCTTTCTTCTTCTCTTTCTACCTGTTACCGAGATTGTTTCAAGAGTTTATTCTTTTCTTGTTTTCCAGTTTTTTTTTTCTCAGTCTTCATGTTGGTGAGGTTGATGAAAAAGATTGCTCTTTTTTAAATTTCCTTGTGAGCCTGTAATTAGAGAGCAAATGAGAAAGAGTGTTATATCAATCAAAGCTAGATTCTCGGTATTGTAGTATCGAGAATTGTTGTTGTTGGGGTCTCTGTGGATTTAGCAACATTTGTTCTTCCTGGGCACGAAAATCAAGTCACCAAATGCTTGGAGATCAAGCACGTTGTAGAGGTTATGACCACAAATAAAGAAAAAGAAAAAGGCAAATGAAACTCCTCTTCGGCATTGTGCATTGATGATGGAGGTGCCATGGGTATGAATGTGTGCCGAAGAAGAAGATGGTGAAAGTGGGGTGATGGGAGAGAGAGAGAGTAACGGTTGTGAGCAAAATAAAAGTTTGGGTGAAAGGTGACCAAATGCTTGGAGATCAAGCAGTATAGAGTTATGACCACAAATAAAGAAAAAGAAAAGAAAAAGACAAATGAAACTCCTCTTCGGCATTGTGCATTGATGATGGAGGTGCCATGGGTATGAATGTGTGCCGAAGAAGAAGATGGTGAAGGTGGGGTGATGGGAGCGAGAGAGAGTAACGGTTGTGGGCAAAATAAAAGTTTGGGTGAAACGGTGACCAAATGCTTGGAGATCAAGCAGGTTATAGAGGTTATGACCACAAATAAAGAAAAAGAAAAGAAAAAGACAAATGAAACTCCTCTTCGGCATTGTGCATTGATGATGGAGGTGTCATGGGTATGAATGTGTGCCAAAGAAGAAGATGGTGAAAGGTGGGGCGATGGGAGCGAGAGAGAGTAATGGTCGTGGGCAAAATAAAAGTTTGGGTGAAACGGTGACGGAGAGGAGAGAGTGACGGAGGATAGAAAAGCAGAGTAAAGGTCAATAGTGGGACCCACATTGCCACGCGTCGCCCCAGGAATGGAGTGACTTATGGATGACGTGAAAAATCAGTCCTACCCAATATTTTCTTGAAGTTTCCGTGTTGGTGCCTTCTCGACGACATTCTTGTTTGTTTTTTTTTAATCGTTCCTTCCTCTTCTGTTCAGTTCGGTCCGGGTTATAAGTAGCCAATTTACAGATCCCATCTCTCTGTCCTGCAACTTAATTCGAACTTTCACACCTACTCCTCTCTCTTGGCCTCTTATCTAGTCACCCTCTCTCTCTCCCCTCGCCGACATCTTTTCCTGGCGCTCACCCCATGACAAAATCTGCAAAGATGGCGTCCATCTTGAAGCTCTGTGCTCTGTTCATCACCGTCTCCTTGGGCTCTGTTTCTGCTGACCCTGACCTCCTTCAGGACGTCTGCGTTGCTGATCTTGCCTCAGGTAATTAGTACTGCCCGTCTGTTCTTCTTTTCCTCTTTGAAATGATGGAACGAATTCTTGAAATCCGGTATGGGTGTGCCCAAAAGAGAGAGGTTTCTTTGTTTGATCTACAGGAGAAGAGCAGCTCCACAAAAAAAAAAAAAAATGACTGAGCAAAACCCTCCAATTTTTTTCTTGGTTGCTTGAGAATGATGAGTTGACTTGCTTTTTACTTGTTAGTCATCTGATCTTCTCACCTAATTACATTATTAAAGTGATAATTGATCAAACCAACCCATCATTTGGGTCATGATTTTCCTTGCTCTTTTTGTGTTTCCAATGCCTATCATTTTAGGCCGTTACTGTTCTTGGCAGCTATCATTACTTTCCTTTCTCCTTCTAACGTATGATCAATTCATTACCCTCCAAATCATCTCAGCTGTCGTTTTCTTTTGTTCCTTTCTCTTTCATTGAGATCATAATATACCTGCAAAAATCTATTAGTACTTAGGAAATTTCATTCAGAAATTTCAAATGATTATGCGAAATCCCACTTCTTTTATTGGAGAAAACAGAATATGGGACATAAAGTTGTCTGCATTTCTGAACATTAGCAAGCTGATCTGCAGTATAGGAACTTGTTCTGGGCCGAAACATATTATTGCTGGCATTCTGTATTAATAGACCAATTGTTTAGACTCTTTAACTAATTCCGATATAGGACTATTTCCATTACATTGTTGACCTTGATTTCGAAAATGTGACTGAACCGACCAAAACATTTTTGGCCATTGATTTGAATGGATAGGAGTGAAGGTCAATGGGTTCGCGTGCAAGGCGACCTTTAACGCGACGGACTTCTTCTCCGACGCGCTGGCGAAGCCGGGGCTAACCAACAACTCGATGGGATCGCTCGTGACCGCTGCCAACGTCCAAAAGATCCCGGGCCTCAACACCCTCGGCATCTCGCTCTCGCGCATCGACTACGCCCCCGGGGGCCTGAACCCGCCCCACACCCACCCGCGTGCCACCGAGATGGTTTTCGTGCTTGAGGGCGAGTTGGACGTTGGGTTCATAACCACCGCCAACGTCCTGGTCTCCAAGTCCATCAAGAAAGGGGAAATCTTTGTGTTCCCTAGAGGCCTTGTCCACTTCCAGAAGAACAACGGCAAGGTGTCCGCCGCCGTCGTCGCCGCCTTCAACAGCCAATTGCCGGGGACTCAGTCGATCGCTGTCACGCTGTTCGCCGCCACCCCGCCGGTGCCGGACAATGTGTTGACCAAGGCATTCCAGGTGGGCACCAAGGAGGTTGAGAAGATCAAGAGCAGGCTTGCCCCTAAGAAGTAATTTCAGCTTATTGTAATGGAAGTTTCATTAGTTCAAATCCAATGGGAAGAGGCTCTCTTTTTTTTCTTTATGAATTGTGGGTGGATATGTGAATTTGGTGTTTGATCCGAAAAAGAAAGAAAATAAAAAAGAAATTAATTGATTCAATAAGTGATTCATTAAGGATCATGTGTACCAATCTTTCCCCTTTTCAGTGTCGTGTCACCATCTCCAGTAGAAGTAGATTGACAATCAAATAAAAGCAGAGATATCTTTTAATTGAAGGCAATCTCATTCACATGGTTGTGATCCACTGATCACTTCATGGGCAATTTCATTCTTTGCTTTGCACTCTATCGTCTCCTGCTGTATCAGATCTAATTCAAGACACCCATAAATCAGAGGTAATATAATGACCCGATCTTACGAGGACAGGAAATGTTTGTTTGGGCAAAGGGCCTAGATAAGAAACGGCTTTTGACAAGCTTTTAGGATGATGAAAGGGACATAAATGAATTGAATTACACACCAAATAAGGGGAAAGTGTTTCTGGAATATATATGTGAAACTGAAATTAACTCATAAGAGGCGTTTTTTAACGCAACGGTAATATTTAGTATTGGAACTTTAATATTAAGTGTGCTTAAGCAAGAGCCCTATCAAGAAGGTGATCTCTTGAAAAAGTGACCACATGTATGCCATATGACAAAATCGTAATATTTGGTATCGAACGGATCAAAACGGGTAATACATCAAGTGAGTTAATCCAAAAGTGTGATAAACAATTACTTCTTGCCTCGTGTTTAGGAATTTAATGCATCATCGGCGGTACCTTTGCCCATTACTCCCTAACAACCAAGTACCAAAGCATTGTAGGGGAGTTGGAGGAACATGTGCTCTTGTTGTTATCGTCATTATTATTATTATTATTATTATTATTTATTTTTTGTATCAAGTTACAAGATATTAATACTTTGGTGGCTACATTTATTATGGTCTTTAGATTTAGCGTGTGCGAACCTGTGACCCGCACCTAATGTCATTTTCTTTTGGCCCATATGTTCAATGTCATTGACTTATTCAAAATTTTTCCTTTCTATTCTTGGATTATTTTCAGCACTCAATCTTGTTAATGATTTTTCTTAGAAATGTGGTTGATGGGGGAAGGAAAAAAGACATCTGTATGTATGGTGTTGGATTCAGTACAACCTTGGTTGGGAGGTGACTTTCAGACAGTATCATGAAGAGCCATTTGACGGGGTCTTCGAAATCTCTAGGAACCCAAAAGATGGGGGGCATTCTTCCACAAAGTGAGCTCTGAGGTTGAGCTGGATGACACGATACCAACCTTGGATTATTCAGATAAACTGTCCTAGTCTTGAAATCAAGTACAAATCAGACATGACAAGGTGTTCTTATTGATTGTCGTTTTGCGTCAGTTGGAAAAATAAAAAGAAAATGGAAAAAAGAGAGGAAAGAAAGATAGAAGAATTTAATCAAATTTATAGTGACACCTTGCTGACTAGGGGGACCAAGCGAGCCGTTTAGCCTCCATCTTTGCAATAAAAAGATTTCTCTGCTTGAGAAAGCTAAGCATGGATTAATTAGTATCCTACCATCTTGCTTGCACGGTTAACTTCAGCTGGTACAGCATCCGCTGAGCATGAAAACACCTTTGCACCATATGGCTTTCGTGAATTGTCAGAAAACTAAACTTTGGGAAAAGAAATAGTCAGAAAACTTTATATTTATATTATCATTATATGCCAGCTATCAAGAGAGGAAGAGTTAACACGGGGGACGAATAAAGCAGAGACCAAGAGGAAGATAAGATGGACCCATCTTGCTCACTAAACAATTAGCACCTTGTCATGTACAGTATAATAACAGGTGATCCCATACTTTTGTAGTTCAGAAGTTCCTTTTAAGGGGTTTGATTTTAGCTTGTATTTTTTTATCGTTTGGAATCAAACATGCATATGGGACCTGTGCAATTGAGCCGTTACTGTCTGCAATTACCACTACTATACGGTGAAAGCAGAAGCGCATTGGCCTTCTATCATTTGTTCTTATTGCACATTGTGCCATTTATCTCTTTGTCTAGCAGTAGTTGTGCAACTTCAGCTCCAGAAAACAACTGACAGAATATATTCAACCCCTTCAATTAGCATCGTAGATCAAAAACCCAGAAGATCAATCAGTGTAAAGAGTCATTGTCAGCTAAAATGCATAAAGATCAGAGAGTCCTGCATTGTTTCTCCTGTCACAGAATTCTGACTTCACAATCCAGGTGTAAGTGACCATGAATGGCACAAACCAAAATTAACTTCTGTGTGGACGATCCTACTTCAGCACAGCTTGTTGCCTGCCATCTGGAATGGCTATCAAAACCATGGGCTTTGAGGGTCTAATGAACGGAACGTCGCATCTGAAATAGCCCTTCCTCTCCAGCTGTATGATCTCACCGTGCTTCAGATTCCTCATGTTTGAATCCCCGAGTGCTGCCGTTACCTTCTTTGTACTTGGGTTCAGGACATCAAGAAAATCTTCCCCTTCTTCCAGCTGGCATATTTGCAAAAGACACGGACATCAACTAAAATATGGGCATGTTGATCAACCTTTAACTAAAGTTCTGTATCTGAATTCCCAAAGACAGTAGTATATTTAAGTATCAGTATTCTATCTGATGTCATTTTCACAATTGAGCAACTGTTTCTGTATTTCTAAATGCATGCCTTCATGTCATGTGAATAAAGAGAAAATTGAGCAATCAACCAAGCTAAACCAAGACAAAAGCAAAGTCTATGACAGGTCCATGTCCCCGTCTAAACGTAGTCTCCATTCCTCAGATGCATGTGGCGCAACCGCCACCTAGCAAACTATAATCACAGTTGGCAGATACTTAAACTTGTTAGATTGAGAATCAAATGAGGCATTTTTCTATCCGTAATAAAAGTCAATAGGAGGAGGGCCTTAAGAATGATTAAGTATCATCTGAATGCCACGTAGAACTTCCAGTTCAACCACTTTTCTTACTAGTGCAAAAGCAAACTAGGAGATGACAATCTCAAAAAAACACAACTATAAAGAATGCTAAAAGCAGAAGCTAAACAAAGTGGAAAGAAGAAAAGGTCCAGCGGTCTAACTGACACGACATACCTTCTTCTTTGTAATTAGATAGTCAAACTCAACCAATGAGAGATTAACCAATTCATTTGTCTCGGGAAGCCACGTCAGCTTCAACTTTGTGGTCTTAACAGATCCTTCAAGGTGCAGAACCCCTGTTAACTGTGTGATGTTCCCATCCTTGTCCTTTTCAATTCCCTTGACTATAGCATTTCCCCAGTCCATCAGGGTTATTTCCTCATCCACTGAGATACACTCGGCATCCACATGTTCTAACCATATCTTCTTTGTGTAAGTAGTAGCCTTTTCTCCAGCACCTTCATATTTCTTGTGCCTCGGGATGATGCGAACAAAGGGCGTCTCAGGACCATCAATTAAGTGCAACAACAGCCGCCGCTCTTCAATAACAGCAGTATGTCTAGGGCAAACAGGATCGATAATCCTTTTATTGATGCTCCAAAGCTTATCCCATTCCATAAGGTTAAGATTCTTTGATGCACCCTGAAAAACGAAAACAAAACATTTATCATGCAACAAGTTGAGTGCCAATCTTGTAAAGCATTTGTACTGAAATCCTATTTCCATTCGAATGGTAAATAAAGATTCATTAAGAAGGTAACCAGGGTACTGCCCTCATACAAAATAACTTCAGAAGAGAAGTCACTTATGAACAGAAAACAAGCTGTGTGATTGAGCTTTCCCACACTACCGAAAGTGAAGAATGTGAAGCCAATTATCACTAAAAGAATACAAGAAGATTCAAATTCCTGAAATATTTCTAATACTTGCCCGTGAAACACATTTGGTACCTCAAAGTCTAAGGCAATAACTAACAATTACTACTAAGACATGATTAAAGCTTTAGGTGACGAAATGTATTTGGTTTACCTGCTCGAGAATAAATTGAATCAGTGCCTCAATTTTAAGACCTCTACGAACAATCCCCTGGACCGTCGGAAAGCGAGGATCGTCCCAACCATCAACTTTTCCATTTTGGACAAACCAGAGAAGCTTACGCTTGCTGAGAAGTGTATAGACCATATTTAACCTGCTGAATTCATAAATCAGGACTTTCCTCAAGCCCATATCCTCTTGAATGCGGTAATACTGTGCATTCCGATCATGGTACTCACTAGATCGGAGTGCGTGTGTTATTCCTTCTATAGAATCAACAAAAGGACATGCAAAATCATAGGTGGGGTACAGCTTGTACTTGGACCCAATGCGATGGTGGGGCAATGGGTGGCAACGGTAATACACTGGATCTCGAAGAGATTTGTTTGGGTCCTGCATATCAAGTTTGCCTCGAAGACAACACTGCCGACCCCTTTCAGATGCCTCTATCATTTCTTTCCACAGTTTCAAGTTCTCCTCTACACTATTACTCCTACATTTTGATTCCACGCCATCCATCCGCATTTTCTGCATTTCCTCCCTGGGTGTATCATCTACATATGCTTTACCCTCGCGGATCAGCTTTTCAGCCATTTCCATCAACTGTGGGAAATAGTCTGACGTATAGGTCACCCTATCATACTTAACACCGAGAGTCTCAATATCCTTCAAAATGTTGTCCACGAACTCATTGCTTTCTTTCGCAGGATTTGTATCATCAAAACGCACAATCACCTTGCCTTGGTACCGTTGAGCGAAATACTGATTCATGAGTGCTGCTTTGGAGTGCCCTATGTGAAGATAACCGCTAGGTTCCGGTGCAAATCGCAGGCACACCTTTCCAAATTCAGCATCAGGAAGATCTACTTCAGCTGATGACTTGTTAATTCCTTTCCCCTTGTCAGACACATCTCCATTAACACTCCTCGATTGGTTACTGGAACCCTGTTTTGCAGTTGCTGCCTTCCCTGAACCTTTCTTGCCAACATACGTTGCGATAATTGCATCTAGGACATCATTGTACTCAGAATATATAGAATTGAACCAACGTACTAGATTTTGGTACTTCTTTGACTTCCTCAAACTTTCCCAACGCAGCCCAACTCCTGCAGAACATTTGAATCGGGACTATCAATGAACACCACACGTTAAAAGTAACATTAAGGAGACATAGCTACACGAGCACAGTCACATGCAAATCATGTAAACAGAAAGATCAAAGCTAAAGGACAGTAAATGCCCCCATAATAGAATAGTTTCTAAAGTCAACAGATTTTGACACCAATAGTGGACAGTAAAACCATACTCTATGCTAGAGAACCAGGATACTTTATACATTCATAGTCAAAAGATTGCTCCCGATGTCTTGCCGCTTGGTAGTAGCCCGTCAGACATCGTGATAGATAGGATAATAGCTTATTCAATAAATAAAAATATGGGAACAATGTAAATACCTGCAAGACCAGACCAGATTGCTATATCTGCAACAGTCAGAGAATGACCCACCAAAAATGTACGCTTTTCCAGATACTCATCCAAGTATTTGCATGCATTTTCGAATTCAGAACCAGATGAAAGAATAGGGGCATAATCCAGCCACTTATCAACCTGCTATCAAATAAAAAATGAAAGATTGTGTCCGTAAGCTTAAATTACATATATCGCATATACTATACAGGGACGAACAAACAAAAAGACTTAATCACGAACAAGAAGAATCACCTCACTGGATTCAGATACGCTACTCCCATATAAGCCTTGAGTCTTGGACACGCTAGCAATGTGTCGGAGAAGATCAGGTGTCCCGTGCAACTTATGCCTAAAATAACAGGATGATCAAAAGTGAACATGAAAGACAATTCCAGCAAAGCCTCCAAGTAGATAACAACAGCAGAAAATTAAACCACCAAATTATTCCCTTCTACACCACACAGTGAACTTTCCAAAGCACATTCCATATAATCACGCGCAACTCAACCGTGTGCAGGAGGATGGCCATGACTAGACCACTCGAGATACATTCTGGATGTATTTATCGGTGCCTAAAAGAACAGGACAATGAATCCTGCGCACTGCTCAACTATATCCTACTAGCCTAAGACCACATTCTCATCTTGATTCTATCACCCTGGACACTGGCAAAGGAAAACTTCACCCAATCACCGTAAGAGGAAACCGAAACGGGAAGAAACCCGAATCGCGACCAAGAAAGATGAACAGAACAGCACCCAAAAACCAGAGCAGGAACAATGCCAGAACAACGCGGGGGGAAACGACCCAGATAGCGAACCGCGAGCGCGAGAGCGAAAGAGGGCATACCCATCAGAGCAGAGCAAAAACGGAGGCGACCCAGAAGGGAGGGAGGGATCGAGGGGCAGAGGGACGCCGGCGAGCCCCGCCGCCGCGATGGCGGAGAGAGGGGGGCAATCGGCCGCGAAAGACAACTGGGTGATCTCCATTTCCGCGAATCCCCGCTTCAAATCACATGCACGGAGCAGAGGGGAGGTACCCAGATCAAGCTCGAAGCAGCTCGGAGGGGAAGGAAGGAAGGGTCCGCGCGCGCGCGCAGAGAGAGCGAAGAGACGATGACGAGGGCGTGTAGGGTTTTTCAACTTTTGTAATGTACTCCTCTTCTTGTTCCGTGGATCGTGAACGCAACGCTAACATGCGAAAAGTCTCAAACGGGAGACAGCAATGGAGCCCATTGGATGTTTTTTCCCTCTGTTTTTTACATTTTCCTGTTTTTTTTTTTTTCATTTTTTGGAGATAGGAGAGGAAGTTTGACTTTCCATGTTGAATTTTCTGGGAAAATTCTATTTTTTTTTTTCGAAGAAGAAGGGGAGGAGAAATAGGGAGGATTTTCTAGTTTTCAAAGACTTCGATCTAATGAATTCAAAGTCTTATTAATGAATCTCTTCGAAACACACTCGTGTTGGCCATACCCAATAGGGAAAAAATTTGCGCACAACTCGAAAATGATGATGCGTGCTTTACAAACGATAATATATCTTTATTGAGACATTTTGTCAGCGAAGCCATTCTAAATCTTATATATGGGATTTTTGCAATTTGTGTTTAGTTTAGAATGTTGATGTAAGAAATGGTGTTCAAATTAATAAATGGAAGAATTCAATTTGGTTACGGAATCAGATGCAGGAGGTGGATTTTAAAAGGCCACCCCCCCCCGATTGGGTGCACGTAGAATTAGAAAATCTTAGGTGGTAATTTGTTAGGGAGATTTTGACCAACAAACATAAATGATTGCCAAAAATGGAAATAAAAAAAAAAATCTAAGAATCGATTGCCAAAAATTCAATCCGAAATTACCCTCAGCTGGGTTACCTTTTCACAGCATCATTGAATGTGGACATTCATTCAAGGAAGTTGCACAATTAGAAATGATTAGTGACGGTCTTTGATATACTTAAAAATAACATTATGTTTTGGACTACAATAACAAATAACTATAAATTATTATGGAGTCCGCTCTTTCAAAATATATTGTTACTCTCACGATAACTTAAAAACAATTATACTAGCAAAGACCAGGAATTGTTTCCTTTACTTCCTTTTTGTTCATTGTTATTTTCTTACACCTAAATTTTCTCCACCTCCTAAAAATTTGTCCACTCGCCATATCAAGAAAAGACCCTTGTGGGTGTCTAACACGGTTAAGGATATCACATGTACCCTTATGGATAAGGATTTTCCAGCATTACACACGTCTTCACTTGATTTTATTGGCCCATGATCTGGTCTGTACTGTATAGTCTATTATAAGAGTCATTTGGTTGGGTGACTAGTAGCTGCTGTGTTGCTACCTGGATTCATCTGATCTGACAAGAGTGTGGATATGGTCGAGATAAACCTGACATGTGCACATGGTAAGGATATCAGCTGCTCAGCCATTTGAAACTTGTGGTTCAGAACCTGACAAGTAGTCAGGAAAATATCCCGGGTACAAAGCACAGAAAGTAACCTGCAATGTAGAAACCAGTCAATTTCTGCAAGCACCAGCTACCCCCACTTCAGAAACATGGGATTTTCTTCACCTATTCACAAGCATATTTCAAGTGCTTATTGGTTTTTCTGACCAAGAAAAAAGAAGAAGTGCTTATTGGTTTATGAGCCTCAGGAGCAAAGCATCCTACCTAAGGTTCTGAAAGGTAACTCTCTATTGTGTCGTTCTATCAATCACCAGTAATTTCCGGTACTAGATGCAAAGGCCATCCGAATGTGCATTTTCTAGCACAAAGCAATAATGCAAGAGTAAGACCACACCCCAGTCGCCTGTCAGCCATGCCATTTCATTCTCATCTGTTAGGTAGCCACACAATCTAAAGCGAAAGGTGTACCAAAAGACACGGATTTGTACCGAAAGACATAAATTTCATGGTCAGCAGCCGCTAATTTCAGCCGACGCCAAGAGTCTTCGCCCCAAGCCCTAGCTAAATCAACATCGCAACGCATGGTCTTCATCAAAATTGCATGGAAGCTAAATGAGGGTCGAGGTAGAGCCATGCTTCATCTTGTCCATTCAAAAGTGGCATAAAGTTAGAAAAAGTAGATAAACAGAGCAAGCAAACAAACTACTACCCCAACCTACTGGACATAGAAGTCTTTCCCATTGCAGTATTGATCCAAAAGTTTCACAAACAAGTATTCCCTTAGTATATCTTTGGCAGAAATATGCTCAAATCTCCTCATAAAAGTATAGCTCAACAATTTAAAAAGAATACAAAGAATTCAATTCTTCCGCATTGACGCGGACAGCTAATCTACCATAATCATTTCAGAAGACAGATTTTCCATGCCCTGAGTATTCCTCTCAACTATACAATCCTTACACCAAGCTCATAGCACCTCCGGAAAAGCGAGGCGAGAACCAAGGCCAAAAGTGCAGACCAAGCAAGAGGCCTAATGACTCTGCAACTCATCACCTGATCGAAAAGCGAGAATTCAAGATCCATCCAATCTGATTAACCGATGAGCCAACCACATCTCCATAATCCTCCAACCATTAACACTTGAACTCCAATTTTAATTCACAACCCAACTGCTTCGGAAGAATCAGAATCAGCATGGTGATCACGAATTCGACATTTTCAACAATCTTGCAACACCTCTGATTGAAGACTTTCCACAACCTCCCCTGCAACTACCCGTAGAGGCATAGAAATACAAACAATTCGATCAAAAAACTTACCTTCCCTATCTATGCTCACACGAAGCGAAATGGATGTCCAAGTGGGTATTGCATTCCCTAGAGTAAAAACCATTCCTCTCCAACAAATCCCTCAGCATCTCATGCGTGAAAGCCGGATCCTCGGGATCGCTGAAATGAGACTCGGCCGGCGATTCCACAGTTTCGGGCCTGCTAAAGCAGAAACCACAACCTTTACCCTTCCTTCTCCTGCGTCGTCTCGATGATTTCCAGTTGGATGAAGACCCAAAAGCCTTCCTAACCTTGGCAAGATTCCATCGCGGCATACACCCACAACCCCTCTCTCTCCTCTGATCATTCTCATGCGCGACAGAGACCCCAACTCCACCATCTCCACCATCATCGCTCTTACCATCATCCTTGTTCTCTCCATCACCAACATTACCATCATCAACGATGACGTTACCCCCAGGACTAGATATCTCCTTATCAGAAACTGACATCAACGATCAAGGGGTTGCCCAAAATCCAAGAATCGAACGGCGTGGACGAAAGACAAACTCCAGAACAACGTACCATTCGTGCGGACAACTGTATAACCTCATCCAAATCGGTTGCGGCCGGAGAACACGCGAGGGAAACGACGAAAAAGAACAACACCCAGTTGAGGATTCGAACAGAATCGTGTGCTGCGCACGTTTTTCGAGGGGATGACGACGATTTCCGCGGTCGGAAGAGCGGTTCCAGGCGAGGCGAGGCAAGAGGGGAGGTTTCCTTCCAACCGGCGATAACTTCCAGCACCCACAAGCAAGCAAGAGGGTCTTCTCAAGAATGATTCATCGGAGTTTTTTGTTCATACGTCTGGGTTTTGAATTAAATTAATGGGAGTATAGAGAGCGCAAAATGGCGACAGCCAACGAGACTTGCATGCGACGCGTGGCGAGTGTTCGATGTGGCGAAAGGTGGCACCTTTGATCGTGCGTGTCCCTATCGTAGCCCATAACACGTAAGTCCATCAATTTTGTACAAGGGTTGTGTCAACAAGTGTTTGAATACTCTGATTTGAAAGGAGAAATGTTTAAAGTATTGATTATGCATAACACAAAAGCAATTTCGTGTGTTAGAAGTTGCAAAATTTCCTCGAGCTATTACCTAATTGCTGCACTCGAAGCACTTATACTTGATTAATTTTGTAGATCGAGTTGGGTATACTTGATATTATGACAAATTTCTTGTTTAAGTAGAGGGGAGAAGATAGATATAATGAGGGATAATGACACAAATTGTCATTTCACTTTGGCCTAATATATAATGTAATCTTTGAACTTCTAATTTGCTCAATGTGGTCCATGAACTTCAGCCCAATGTGCAATGTAGTCTTTGAAATTTTTAAATTTTTCAATTTCGTATGTGAACTTTTGGGACATGTTCAATTTAGTCATTGTACTATATGAAAATTTAGAACATTTTCATGTAGTCCAAGGAATAACATTTTCATATAGTTCAGGGAATAAATTGAACATATATAAAAAAAACTCACATACCACATTAATTAAATTAAAAGTTCAAGGATCACATTGCTTATTGGGCTAAAATTCATGGACCACATTGAACAAATTAAAAGTGCAGAGACCACATTGCATATTCGGCCAAAATTTATGGACCATTTGTGTCAATTTATTATGTGAAATTCAAGAAGGTTTCTTTGAGCTAGATTTCATATTCGAACACTCTCTCTCGTTTATTCATAAAACCTATCGAAATAAAAATTAATGTCACCAAGTTATAACATTTCCGCAAAATTACCATGAAAAATTGAGAAAGTTACTATTATGTGCAACTTGGTTTATTTTTTACTACCTTTAAATTGATTTCAAGCTCTACTCCATTAATAGAAAGGTGACAAAAATCATTATGCAATTTTTTTTGCCAATCTAGTCTTAAATCTTTTCATATTATGTCAATTAAGTCCATCTGATCACTTTTAACCGGAAATTGCTGACGTGGACACCCGTAGTACCATGAAAGATGGTTTGCGCTAACGTGGAAATTTTTTTTACATTTTTATATTTCTTTTCTTTTTCTTTCTTTCTTTTCCTTTTTTTTTTCTACTAAGTTCGGCAAGGGCCGGCGACCCTCGTCCAAATTTGACGAGGGCCACGAAGCCCTCACCTAGCGACCATCACTGGTCTTGGAAGAAAAGAAAGTCAGAAAGAAAAGATTTATATAATATAAAAAAATCATAAATTTTAAAAAAATTATAAAAATTGTAAGGTTCCATATCCATTATTATGATACAGATTAGGGGTAAGCGCTTTCAGGGTCAGTCCAGGTTCTACCTGAAACCTACTCGTCAAAACGGATTCCTAAAGTTTTAGAACCTAGAAGTTACCCTGCATACTCTAAAACCCACCCAGTCATAGGTTTCAAGATCTACCCATGTTCCTTCGGTCTTCTTAATAAAGTATAAGTTTCAGTCATGGATATCACTGGAAATGGAAGCTTAGATAGCTAGTTTCACATTACACACTCATCATCAGACGCAATGAAATAACGTAGGATTTCACAAAGATATAGAACAAGAAAAACACAAAAATTTATTCCAAGCTCAGACTGGAACCTAAAACCTACACATCAGAACCAGTTTCTCAATTTTTTGGAACCTAAACCTACCATTCATATCTAGAACTAGTTTGGTTCTTTAGTTCTCGGTTTTACCCGGGAACCGTTCTCACCCTAATACAGACATGATCTTCATACTGTCAATCTCATAAAGTCACGAGAGTGTTTCATTTTTTTCCCCATGGGACTGATCACAAGAATCTTACAACATATGTCACAATATCGTGCTGCATACCAGCTATTGTCGTCCGTTGGATGACTCTGGCTCACAAACAAGTCAACTAGCTGATAGATCTCGACCATCGGATGACCGCAACATAATAGGATATGCCGTTGTTCCTCATATTTCCTTCATCTATGAGATGTTTTATATTGCTGTTGCCCCTAGGAAAAGAAAACATTGGATGTCTTGTCCAGTCAAAAAATGAGGCATCATCCTTACACCCTTCTGCATCCCCTTCCATCCCTTTTTGTTTTGTGTGCTAGATCTAATAACTTTTGAATAAACATATACATATATATGTATATAATATATATTATACATATACATACATATATAGACAAGATTAGTACATTCATTGCCAAGTGATGAACTTTTTCATTCAATTAAATACTTTATCAAGCGACATATGTACATTTGAGACGTGATAAAAAAATATTGCTTAGTTTGAAGCGTGAAAGACAACTTAAAATGAATTAGGTAGAGTAACGTTTCGCGAGGCAATTGGGAGAGTATGATATCATAGAATCACAAAATCACCACTTCATTGACCACACAAGAGTTGGCAATGCAAGAAAGGCATCAACTCTTCTCTTCCCTTCAGGTGGTGGTGGAATATTCTTCAGGTGCAAAGTAGGTAATGCACCTTTTATTAAAATGCCTGATATCTTATCTCATGTCTTGAATGAGTAAATATCCTAATTCTATGTAACCAGTTGCTGGGTGGATGGGCTTCTCATGTTCTCTCTCGAGTTTCCTTAATCAAGGAACCAACTAATCCATGTATCATATTCATCTTATCATGATAAAAGGCACTAATTCATGTTTCACTTTTAGCATTTCACCCCAGTCATGTTCCTGTTTTGCATCTCCTCTTCTTTGCTTCATCGCTCATGTTGGTATCTGTCACTGCTTCCTTCAACAAATCAGCTGGTTTTCAGCAATGGAAGAATGCTACCCTTCAACAAGTGGGCTTCCAGGAAACAACTTCTTTTTGTTTGGAGCTCAGGCTTATGCATGTTGAAGCCGGACAGGGGATCGATACAGATATGTTTGTCTACAGAAAGAAAGTGGAACATCATCTTCTTTATTATGTCTTTAACGAGGACAGGTTTGGTGGGTGGACAAAAAGCTGATTAAAGAACTGACCATAATGATTGAACCATCGCTGTAAAGTCATTAGCTATTACAAGTAAGCCACCCTCTCTGGTCTGCCCAGATATTGCCTCTCCAACCAATTCATAAACATTCATGTGCTCACTTCCTTGTATCACCTCATTTAGAAGTACAACCGATACTCAGAAGCCCAAAAAGTCTTGCGATATGTGTTGCATTAATTGTGAGAGGGACATCAGTATGTCGATGAATTGAAGAAAAGATACGTCGAAAAATTTCAAGAGTTTGAGACATTTCGGCAGTGGAAATGAGGAAAGCTTATAGGAGGATGTGGAGGGCGGTGCCTTGCACGAGCAGGAAGACCCTGAGGACAGAGTCACAGAAGGACATAGAGGTGATATTGAAGACGAAGCTCGCAACAATCCAAGAAGAACCAGAGTTCTCTGATGACAACTTGATGCCGCCGAGACACCAGCGAGAGATCAAGAAGGGAAGGATGTTCGAGGTCAAGGTCAAGATGGGACATCTGTTCATGCCTCAGTTCAGTTTCCGGGATTCTTATGCGCTCTTCATAACCGGTTTCGCCTCCAAAGGTAGCTTCGGAGGGCTCCTTCAGTACTAATTTCTTGATTCGGCTAGTCTCTGATTTGAGCAGCTGAAGGTAATCTCAAGGACTGAAAGATAGGTATTTCGTGATCATCGAGTTGGGTATCTGTATGCGTTTGGATCCCCGCTGAGAAGTTGTTAGAATTTGTGCTTTGCTCTGCCAAATCATATTATTTCAGGCAGTAGCATCCATTGACTGTTTGGATTCCTGTTGTAGAGTCATTCACATGGCAGTTTCAGCTTGTTAACAACTAGAGAATAAGAAACTTCTCATATTTCCTCAGCCATATAGTGTGTAATAATTGTGGAGCTAATAATGCATAGTCCTGCTTTCGCTTGTTTTGGATATACTATGATATTTATCTCTTCAGCAATTGGATTTCAAGCCATTCACCCTACTATTCAAGAAAATGAAAATCAGTTCCTAATATATTGACTTTATAAAGAGACAATCATGCCTGGTATAGCATCAGGTGAATCCGAATGTCCATTTTTTTGTTTGAGTTTCAGATATGGTAAAATTGAAGTAAGCTGTGTTGCGAGCATTGGGAAAATACAGTTTTAGAGATAATATCGAGTTAAGAGACAATGGTCCTTAATCGGCGTGAGTTCTCCCAAACCTTTACCTCTCGCGAGGTTGGAATTTTCATTTAAATTTAATTAAACCTATGGGAATTCTATATAAGAACTCGCTACTGGTCTATTGGGGTTGGCTAGAAATCAAGTGATGTATGGGAGTGTACTTGATTTAAAGTCAACGAGTTGATTACATTAGTTATCTAATTAGTATTATTTCAGTATCTAAACTTGATTATTTGTCAAAACTAAGTGTCACATATAGTCCCTCTTTTTAACCCAATTATGAATCCTAAAGTTCACGTCCACTAAATGTCCATGAGATATTTTTATGTTTACTATGGTCTTAGAATGAAACCTAACCACTCAACTATGAAAATGAACCACAACACAAAAAAAAATGATATAAAAGCAGTCACAACAAACACATTAACAATAGTAAATGAAGAACAAGTAGAAGATACAGTCACGTCAGCTGAATACGAATATGGTTCAATGTGGTTTCACTGGTGTGGGCCAAAAGACCCGATTGGGCTTTTATAAAAGCCCCTTTTTTAGTTCTAAACCTTCAAACCCCATTTTTCTTATTATTCCTTATTTCCTCTCTCTTTCTTTTTGGAACCTATTCGTTTTCTTCCTAAAGCTCAGAACAACTCACCCAAAGCTTACCACCATTCCCAGGTTTTGCTTCTTATCAAGCCCAAAAATTTAAAGCTTTCACAAATTATCAGCAAAAATGAACTCACCTAAACCAGTTCAAAGTCCAAAGACTAATCCAAATTCCACTGCTGAAACACTCCTCAACATCCCTAATAATTTACTACTCCTATCTTATTATATCATTTTTACCTCTAATTTTCTATGTCTTTTGTCTTCCTTGTAGTGGACTTAGAACACACAAAGCCACGACCAAAATTCACCGCATCATAGCACCAACAATTAGGTGGATTTTTGGTGGACTTAGAAAATTTGAATTGCTGACTAAAATTCAGATGTCAACAAGCTACTGTTGTGAAAATGCTGAAATCTGATGAAACCAATGTGGCCCTTTCTGTTATTTCCTTTCCCGGTTTATGATTATTAGTTACAGCATGCCGGTAGTGAATTGCAGTGGGCTCCTTACAAATTTCAGCTGTAAGGATCTGCCTTCTGGCCTAAAGGGAACTCTGGCCTAGGCTTGCATCGATGAGGTAGGAAGTTGGATGCATCTCACATCCATCTCACATCCATCTCAGTCACCTTAAAGTAAATGCTGTAGATACTAAATGTGTTATAAAACTTGTTGACCAAGTGCAATGACAAGCAGTCATTGGCTGTTCCAACACCCAAAGATGCCATGCATAGAAAATGTAGAACTTCAAGTCCATAAAACACAACATTTTCTGCCACGTGGTAGGAAAATTTAAGCATGTGTTGGAGTGCTCCGGCAACAAGGGGCTTCACCAGCCATTGCATCTTATCTAAAATAAACGCATGGTACGAGAGATTACTCTACAACAGTCGTGTATCATCCAACAAATCGCCGAGGAAGCTCAAAATTTTGGATTTGACAGCGACAGCAGCGAAACGAGTGATAACCCTTATGCCAAAGAAGAATTTACTCTGAAGTAAGTTCGGAAATATGAAAGGAAAGGCAGAGGTTATACGTAGCAGGAGATGACGAGGGTTGGCCAAATTTCAGATAAAACTACAAGATATGGGTGGTTATACTTGCTCGTGGATAGTGGTTAATGGACTAGCTAATGTGCAATCTGATCTGCAAATGCATCTGCTCAATCTTTTGAGTGAGATTGGACTGAATGCAACATGGTAGAAAGTAATCAATCAAGTGGCCAGCAAATTTGTTTGGAGATCACGCTAAAATCATTGTTTTAAGGAATCTTTTAAAAGGTGCTTGGAAAGTATACTATTCATTTCCCTGGCGTGCCACAAGGGCAGATTTAACCATATCGAGCAGAGTGCAGTAATATATACTCGGTATTCACCATCTCCTGAAATTGAGAGGTAAGTCCTGCTTCCACTCTAGACTTACCAAGAACTGAATTGTCAGAGTAAGTCTTGATATTACTAGTGAGTGCATATTATGTTTCCTTTCTTTCATTCTGTAAGTCTGGAACTGAACTATTTAGTATATTTGCGCATCCTAGACACATCAAGTATAAACTAAGAAGCATTGTCGAATCCTCCACTCTGCCAAATTAAGAATGGGGATTGACCGACTGTAGATTAATGAGAGGAACTTAATGCAAAATCAACATAATAGCAAGTTTTCAGGTTACTACCGCAGACAAAATGCCTGCATATCAAGTGTGAGCCCAGCGTCTATCAAGAGATATGACACTTCTTCTACATTTCACAGAGGAATGAGACAGAACTGGGAGCCCCCACTGAGAGGAAAAAGTGATGGCCGGGTAGATACCATCCAAATTCATCCGGTTGACGATATCTCTGTAGATCCTGGTCATCTTGCTGGGCAATGCGATCAGTGAAAATGCCCTCAGAGTAAGTTTCCTCGAACGAGACAGCCGGAGAGCCTTGAGCTTTCCGTTCACATTCCTCACCCAACGCCCCCTAGGCCTTGTTGTTTTCTCATTGATGTTGATCAGCTTCTCGTATTGATACCTGAAGCGGCCCGCGCCAATATCTTGCAGACCCATCTGCAGCATTCAGGAATGATGATAGAGGGAAAAAAGTTAGAGGAGATGAAGAGAGCCTAGCTGCTTCTCAGCTGAGGTTACTAGACAATCAACTGTCTGCAGCATAAAGAGTATGTGGACAGTTTATAAGGAGGTGACCTATTGCTAGTTATTTTGGCAGGATCTGGGTTTTCGAAATATTTTGAGACAAGATTTCGTACCAAAATAATGATATAATCTGCAGTTGGGATTCCTCAAACACATGGCTTCCATTATAGTTTAACCTAAACACAGTTCAAGGTTATTAACCTTTTTAACACATGGCTAACATCAGTTTCCATAGCCATAGCCACAGCCTAACAACTTGGACTATGAGTCTCTCCCTTCTCGGCTGCTTGAGTGAGGACAAACTGAAACAGATGGTTGAGAGGAATAGTGAGAGGCATGTGCAATGATTGCTTCCCATGTTAGTGTACATATCGAGGCCAATCATTAAGGAAAGGAATGAATATTGGTAGTCATCATTCAAAAAAGAAAAGCAGATCTGCTGGTTTATTCTAATTCGTTTGACACAGATTGTTTCAGAATCAAGTCAAGCCTGTCTGATTATTGGTGTAACCTGTCCCGGATTGAAGAATACAAGAGGAAGCAATTGTTTAATCAGCAATTAGTATCGGTATCATCCCTTTGACAGTTTTTTTTTTTTTTTTTTTTTTTTGATAACCGGCGAGTTAATTCGATTGAACACTCAACTGGAGAGGAAGAGTGCACCAGCTTCCTTTGAGTTTGACGGTTATTCAAAAAAACTTTAGGTCGAGGATTTCGCCCGAACTTTTTGTCATAAAGACCAAAGGCACCGAACTCGTTCATTTAAATCCCAAATTTGGCCCCCCATTGATTTTCGTCCGAGTTACCCTTATTTGAGAAAAAAAGTTATGGTGGTGAGCCTGGCGAATCTCTTTCATGGCGTCTGTCGACAGGTGATGGTCTACAGCTTCAGATTACGACAAAACGACAAAGTTTGGCCAGAAAGATTCAATATGGAGATATTTTTGACTTGCCGGTGAAGTGAAGGAGACGAACAGTTTCACCGTTATTTTTCAAGCTGTGGTTTAGAGAATAAGACAATGAATAATGCTTTAAATCCAGTCAGCAAGTCACGTGGATTTATTGCTAAGGTGGAATAGTCAAGTTGGAAAATCAATGGTTTTAAGTCAAAAATGGCCAGATTTGGGATTTAAGTGAAAGTTGGTGCTTTTTTACGAGATAAAAAAAAGTTCAGGCCAGAGTTGTCCATCAACATAAAGTTGGTGCTTTTTTACGGGACAAAAAAAAGTTCGGGCCATAATTGTCCCTCGACCTAAAGTTAATGCTTTTTTATGGAACAAAAAAAAGTTCGGGCCAGAATTATCCCTCGACCTAAAGTTGGTGTTTTTTTTTGGAATTAACCCCAGTTTTGACTGGCCCCTACCAAGTCGCAGGCATTTGAAAATTTGAAAGCAGTCCAGAGATTCTCTCTTTGCTTTTGGGTTTTAGGCCCTCTTGTTGTACCTTTTAATATGGGTTTTTTCGATTGGACTTAAATGGAAAAATGGGCTGGCACTTGATGGGTGGATTTACGTAAGAACCGAGCGGGCACGCATGCGTTGTTCTTGCGCAATGCAAAGAGATCAATCTGCTTTCGCCTATTGGAACGGACTCATGTATGTTTGGAGACTTTGGAACAAAAATATGGTTGTATTTGTGTAGTCCATGTTCTTCTTTTCAACATCTTTTCAGACCAAATGTAGAAATTCACGTGGTTCACATGAAATCGGTGAAGGGAACCACATATCCCGGATTGTTCAAAAGTACTTGTGACGATTGTGGATTTCTTGTTGAGAGTAGCATTCATTGAAGAGAACGCTCTAATCAATAGCCTGCATGGATATTGTCATTAACAATCGGTATCGAGATTCTTTTTGGTAGAGTTCCATCAGACCTTCAAGTGTTAAGTGTTGCCCAATTTGGCCAGGGGTGTGCTGGCTTAGGGCCATTAACATTTAGCATGATGATTGCTACGAGTCTACGGCTTTTTACATGTGGTAATGTCGGATGTGATGCCCCGATCAACGCACAAAAATCAGCAAAAGCGTCAATGGTGAGTTCGTTGTGACCAGATCCCTGTGTAGAGCGCAAGAGAAAGTCTCATCTCCAAGAAGTTATCGCTCATTCGCTCATACTATTATATTGGGATTTGGGTCGGAGTTGTCTTTAGGCATGGACAATATTCGGGGGTGAAGGAACACAACATCCTAAGTGAAAGATATGCCTTGGTAGTTAGAATCAATGAGACAGTCAGATTCCATTTTGTGCACATTTGAAGCAACTCGCCTCCCCTCGCCCCTCCCCGCCACAATTTAAACAAATCTCACAAGCCGCATGCACACATCAAACCAAGTCAACTGATATTTATCAGTGTGCGCACACATCATTAACTTTATTTTAAGAGTTGCTTGCTACGGTCCAAGGGCGTCTGCAATCACGTCTTGGCCTTGCTGATGCATGCAAAACACATATCTCCAAGGTCCTCCATCAAATCAGCCGATGACTTCAAGGTTGGAGTTTCATGTTCATATTCTTGCTTCAGTCAACTTGCCGTCCTCACGTTGAACCACGGATCATCCGTCTGTCCTTCAGTTTTATGTTTCATTCTTTTGTTTTAGGATTATCTTGTGCTCATCAGATCCCAAGTTTCACGGTTGTATCCTTCCCAGCAAGAACTACACGCAAACAAAGATGAACATCCCATGTTGTTGTTGATGATTGCTAGCTTCCCTCAATCTAATCCAATCTGTTCTCGTGGTTACCAAGTTTCTTGATTAGCACAAAGATCACCAAGACACACTTACTGATTCATGTATGAGGACCCATCTTTGGTTTCCTAGTTCGGAAAATATAGAGATATCGTTTCGTTTTGTGCACGAGAGGAGATCCCTCTTCATCTTCCCAACACATACAGCCAAAGATACTCTGAAAAGCCAACCGGTCGACCGGATTCGGCTCTTGGCATTATTTCTCAGAAAAGGAAAACATGTCGGATTATCAAGGGAGGGTTCACTTGAAATTGAATGGTCCTCCTATCGCATCAACCGGTTTTTTTCTCGAGATAATTTGTGTTTGCGGTGTTCTAATCTATGTTTGTCAAAAGGTTGGCTAGCCTTTGTAGCCCTATGTTTGTCATGCACTAAATACAAATGTGAGAAGAACCAAATCAATGGATGTGGTAAGAGCAACAAATAATGAAAACATAAGGGGTCGGCAGCGTACTGTATTTATTTCACATTAAATTCTTCATGGTCCTGCAAAAGTAGGAATTTTGTGTTGCTTTTTATTATTATTATATTATTTTTCCTTCTTCCCATAATGGCCATGCTGTAATTTCGTCAAATTCAAAGACAGCTGCCTGCAATAAATCTCCCAACTTTATTTGGACGGAAGAAAGTCACGCATCGTTCTTGAAACCCTAAATTGGTTTCGGCCATTCTGTCAACTCTTTGACTTTCATTCAAAGAAAACTGTTGCACGCGTGTTTACACTTTATATACATACTCTATACATATATACTAAACTAGGGTTAGTCCAGATCCATCAAATCTTACTTCACCTACATCCGGCGGTTGTTTCCAAAATCGCACCGAAAAAAAAAAAAAGAAAAGAAAGAAAGAAAATATCGAACCGAATTTCTAAGTAACGAGCATGATCGAACCGGATTAAATCGATCCAGAACGAATCCAGAAAACGCCGGCCTGAAATCCGTACACAAGTTGGAAATTTGTTTATTTTGGTATCCGAACTCGGAATTCATCTGGATGCTTTGACTTTTAGAGTCTAAGCTTTGAAGATAAGTTCCCGTTGATTGTTATTATTATCATTATAATAACTGATATTATCATTCAGTCCGCCATAAAAGCAATGAAACGTAGAAACCTTTGCAGTTTCCAGCAGGAAATATTAAACATTAAGTTATGAAAAGCGATTAAAAAAAGAAGAAGAAAAAGCTTGGGGGGTGTATGTGTGTGGATGCTTGAACGTCCATGCACAAACCGTACCTGCCTTCTTGCTGCAGTATTCATCTCGCTTTAATTCGGTCAATTATTCTCATTTATCACGCCACACCTAATTCTTTTATACATCCCTCATTCGTGGTGCACATAAACAGATATAATTAAGAAAGAAAGAAAAAAACAGGAACAAACGTAGTACCAGAAATATCCAAGAATAAAACAGCAGAGAAGACATGTCTGTAAACCCTGTTTCTTGATGGCTGCTATGATATTTGCATTCATGGGGTTCAATGATATGTTGGTGTATGTCTGAATTTGTAGTGAAACTCATCAAGAACAGTGGACAAACAAAAACCCAGAAAAGGAAAAAAGGTTCATATTTTAGCTTCATCTAAATCCTCGATACATGTAGAATTCTGGGTCTATTTCACTTCAGCATGGAAGGCTGCTACTAGGGATTAATCTTTCAGGGCAGGAGTTAATTAACTACTATATCCTCTGAACAAATAAATCGAATATAAGAGTCAAGAGAAGAAAGAGAAGCAAGATGATGAATCACTTGTGTGATTGTTGTTGCAGTTGTTGTTGCAGAGGAGGGGAAGGAACCTTGATCGTCTCCTGGAGTAGCAGAGCCTGTGCCTGAGCCTGGAGAGCCTTGAGCAGACCAGCTTCCGGAGCCGGCGGGCGGACCTCAGCCTGAAACAGAGGACCCTCTTGACCCTGGTGAAGGACCTCTTGATCCTCTCCGAGAGGCTCCGTTTTCTGCTGAATTGGTAGCTCCTGAGGAAGAGCTGTCTCTTCTCCATCATCAGGCACTGGTGTTCCATGGAGTCGACCCTGAAGACTGGACCCATCAGGCTGGGGTTCACGGAGGCCATGTGTATCAGGGATTCAGGTTGCGCTATACGGACAGGAAGAAGAGTCTTCTCCCTCTATTGGCAGGTAGAGAGAGAGAGAGAGAGAGAGAGAGAGAGAGAGAGGAGAGCGGGTTGTGAGAGTCTGACGCGGGGGGTTTATATGCCGTGGAAAGTAAGAGTGAAGAAAGGTTACGAGGTCAAAGGGAAATATTAGTAATAAGTAGGGTTTCTTCTAGCCTTTTTGGTTTTTGGGAAGTCCTAGTAGTACTACTTGGTTTCTTGTAAAAAAGCTGTGAACTTCCACACGTTTATTAATATTCTCTTCGGTTTGCAATCGTGCTGTGACACTGCGCAGCCGCCGGTGGAATGGGAAAAGCCCATGGTGTGCATTTTGATGCTTGACCTTTCGTGACAAAAGTCAAAAGTATGACCTGATGCCAACTCAAAAAAGAAGAAAAGGTTGGCCATGGCCCTCGCACTTGCTTATTGATTCTACCATGTCGACTCGATGAAAACAATCTTCACCATGACGATCACCGGAAATACCATTCATCTGGCAGCAATCTGAGAATAAGTTAAGGATCTCCAAAACTAGAATCGTGATGCCAAGATATGTCTAAGAATGCAAACGCTCATTCAAGAAGCTGGAAAAAAAAGGACTGGTGCAGACAATTACATGACTATTTTCTGCTTACAAGTATGTAACAGATTTCTGTACCTACAGTGCTCAGCAGACAATTAGGCTGTTAGAAGGACACTTTCAGGGAGAAGCCAAGCTCAATTTCTGCATCACACTACACAAACTTAGGCGCAAAATGGTCCCAAATCAAACAACATGCAAAATTCTGTTGTTCCATCATTTTTTTCCTCCTCGTGTAAGGCTGCCTGACAGTAATCTTGTACCTTCACCAAAGGGGAAAACTGCTCGACAAGTCATCTTTGTCTAGCTTCATCTGCTGCAGGAACATGCGGAGGATAACTTGATATGTCCACATCAATGAGCGACATGTCGTAGGGAACTGCAGAAGAGTTTGATGGGTCAACAAGTAGGGAAGACTTCATGATCTCTGAGCTGGTAGCAGAATCGGGCAGTACTGATGATTTCTTAGGAGTGCTAGTAGCAGAAGAAGACATGCTGGAGAGTTGCACTTCATCCATTTTGTTACCAAACATGTGCTTGTTCCTTCTAACAGCATCCATTTCCGGGCCAGTCGGCACAAAGGTGCGCGACCTGTATTTCCTTGTCCCCTCATCGCCACCATCATGGTTGTAGAGTACGTATTCATGGTAAGTTGGTGCAAACTGCAACAAATATTGATTCAATCATCATTTAAGGGCAGCACAAGCAAAAAAAAAAAAAAAAAAAAATAGCGTTCATGAAATGATATCAGCAACCTCCAAGTTTTACCTGGTGGACAGTGTCATCGTAAAAGTCAGTTAACTTTAGTGCATGTGCAAGACTCGCAGTAAAACCACGAGAACCGCCAATATTTGCACCCGCATACTCTTTGTATGGGAAGGCATATTGGTGACCTACTGCAGCAATAAGCATCTCCACACATATTATGAAATCTTGGAATTGAGCAGCTTCATCCGCATCTCTGATGAGTCCAGTCTTTGCAGCAAGGAAAACCAAGACGCCCTACAATATGGAAAAGAATATTGAGGACATGAAGAGACAGCTAGTTTACACTTTCCAGCAACCCAATTCACTAAGCAACAAAATTCGCAAATAAAACTAGAGAAAACCTATTGGGAAATCACAACCCATCGTGCATATTTTTATTCACAATAGACAAAATGACAACTTTGTTTTCAATCCTCAAGTCAACAACCTGTTTTTGTATGGTTTTCATTAAACGCTTCCCCCAGAAAGAAAAACAAAGGAATGCACAAGTGACAAACAAAACAAAAGTTTCACCTGCCAATAAGTTAGAAAGACAACAGACTTGATGATTATAAACTTCGGGACTGGATTGAACGGCTGGAGCAAATTTTTGGATGCCACATAGAATAGTACCAAAGCATAAAGTGCCATTGTATAGGATAAAGTGTAGATGATGGTGAGATACAGGTATGACTGTGCTGGACTGAAATTTCCGTCATGATATTTTCCCTTAGCATAGAGGACGAATGTGACAGCAACTAGAATGGGCTTCAGTATCACAAACTGTAAACAACCTTGTTTGCACCTACGAATAAAGCGCCTGCATGAAAGATTCAGAAGTCTAAATCATTCACAAATAAGTGGAAATCATAGTGTTTCAATATATGAACACTCCAGTCAAACTCTGTTTTCCCTTGAAAGCAGTTTGATGAAACTTCACAAGAATTGCTCGACTTTCTTGGGGAAGCAGAAGGGTATCTAATGCAATGTAAGAAATATAACTCAGAGTAACTTGATTAATTAAGAAACTTGCGCTGTTTCCAATTGAATATTCCTAAAGAGCCCGCTAAACTAAATAGGCAAGGCCTTGTGGTAAGCACTCACCCATCCAATGGCATTGGAGGTAAGCAGCACGTCATTAAGTACCAAGATGGTTTCAAAATCCGACCACTTAAATTCAGCACAACGGCTCCTGGACCACCGACCCATGCGAGGCAGAGAGATAGGAAATTATAAATAACCCAAGCTTCATACCTGAAAGAGCAAATTCCAAAATTATGAAAATTTAGCAACAACAAACTAAGTTATAATCATCAGGACTCACTAACATTATCTAATTATAAATCACATCTATGAGTGCCTTAAAGGCGGGTTAAAAAATTTGTATCTCCGTAACGCAGGTACGTGCGACACACAATGAACTAAGAAAAGGCCAACCAATGAAGGTGGCCGATCATCTACCTTTTGCAACCGAAACTGTATATTCTTAAATTTCAGAAGCAGAAAAACAAAAACATGAATAGCACACAAAATCAATAAAACGTGAAACAGAGACATCCCTTCAAGAAATATAAATTCAAATACTTACATTTCACGAATTAAGTCAAATACTTGGGGCATGTTTGGAATGACTATAACTTTTTTATTTTTTTGCTCAACCTAATTCTTGCAACTCACGCACTTTGACTTATTTTAAATCCAAAACTCCTGAAACTTTCAATTTGAGTAATCTTTTAAATTTTGATGGGAAAGCAAAAAACTCAACATCATTATAGTATTAAAAAAATTTGACAGGGAAAGGAAACATCAAAGCACATGTAAATTGCACCAAATTCTCCAATTCTTTGTAACCATGGATTAAAAATGCAAATACTTACACTTCACGAATGGAATTGAAATAAATTGAATTCTCGTTCATTATGAGGGATAAGAAAGAAGTCAATGCATACACCTGACAAGAGCATAAGATGGACATTAGTTATATAGTAAAGGCAACAAAGGTTAAATCATAATCTCAAAAAGTAAACACATTTCAAGTCTAACTTGCAGTTTTTGTTTTTCGTGTTGTGGGGGTGCGGGGTTCCTACATATAATAATTTTTTTCTCTGGAAAAAGGGGCAGGGGGTGACTTGTATAGGGGCTTAAAGTCAGTGAAGGTTAGAAAACTGGAAAGTTATAATATATTTCGACAGTCTCCGTGCGCTTTCTCATTTTAAATTCTACCAAAGCCTGTGTTCTTTGGCTAATCAGTCAGGATTTAGACAACTCTACAGAAGAATTTCATTTCTAACACACCATATGCCAAGAAACCCATCATTCATATGATTTCATAACACATGAGGTAAGATAAGATATGATGCGTCAGTACAACTGCTACTGACTGCGCCAACCAATGTTCTCAATTCTCATACTGACTTCAAAGTTCAATTGTTATAACTAAGCAATGAGCTTTTCCCTATCCAATAAAAGTAAGGAAGAAAGCAAGATAAAATCTCCAAAAAACTTCACAAACCACCGGTGTAAAAGTGAACCTACAGCTCCAATGTTGCGGTTGAAGTTTTCGCAAAAATTCAGTGCAATTTTTGTTTTGTATATCTAGTTTCAACCTCCAGAATGTTGATGCAGAATCACTAACCCCAAAATCTTACGTCCACCGACATTTTCCCCAACATTCAAATAAAAGGCATCAAGGCGAGCTAATCAATGTGATGTGGAAGGTGCTAATCAGTATACAACAAAGAATGCGATATTCATGGCTTCCCCAATCTTTCTCATGGATTTATATATAGAAATTTCATGGTACTAACCGGAACCATGAAGATGATGCGAACTATATATCGTTGATAAGTTGGCTCCGTGTAATTCACCAAGTGCATATAAATGTGGTGAATTGCTATCGCAATCGCCCCCACCGTGCACATAAGCGCGATGATGTTGAAGTAAATCGGCACGAATTCCCCCATCGCAAACCTTCTTCTCCACCAATGTCCTCCACCCTTTAACATGACCGGAGAAAACCATCTCCAAACACTAAGCCAATCGGAACCGGCACAAACAACACCAAAACATATTAACGCAGTGCTAATCACAAGACACGCACCTCGGCCGAAGTTCACATCAACTAGTGTAAAGTTTGTTTCTTGACACTCGAATTGGCTAAACAATCCCGGTCGCCATTCATTTCTTCACGCGGGGTTCGCAAAAAACAGTGGAACCGCAACTTGGGCACCTGCCGCCATTAACAAACGACAAGCATTATCGCGCTAACCGAACGATCACCCAAATTCGACAACTTTCGCAAAGAAAAAGAGCGGGTGTTCGGACAAAAAGAGAAGGGTGGGAAGAAGAAAACCGGAAACTAACCTCGCCGAGGTCGGGATCGTCGGAGATTTGAAGGAGACGGAACAGATCTCCGCGTCCAACGTTGTAATGATCTTGTCCAACTTCTTGGAAAAGAATGGGATTTCTTGGAAAGATGGGATTTTTATCGTGGATTGCTTAATGGAGTGAGTTGAGTGGGAACAAGAAATTGAGAGGAGGGTGGAACGAGGGGAAGGAGAAGCATTTGCTTCACTGGCAAACCCATGATAGTCTCTCTCTCTCTCTTCAATCTGGACTCTGGTTGTCCAATAAACATATGCTGTCGCATATTTTTTATTTTTCGTTCTCCTTTTTTGGGCCCAAAAATAGAAAAAATTGGAACTATTTCATACCCTTTTGTTTAGTGCTTACAATTGTTCCAGAATGCTCATAATCATCATGATCAGTGATCACTATCTTGGTGCTGTAAATTTCCCAGTTGGAATATGACATCAGTCTTGCAGAATGACCAAAATGGCCTCTTTGGCTGAACATCTGCAATGAGGGCATGAGAGGTTATGAAAGAGAGAAGGAAATAGTAAGTAGCTGATGAATGGATCGTATGCTATTAAATGATCTAGCGAAATCGGATCGATAAGCCATAATTACATGACTTGCTCTGGTCATACCCAAGAAAAGGGCAATACTGGTTAAGCGCATAATTGATTAGGTAATTCAGTCGCTGCAACGTCATCGAAAAACACGTCGTTTTCGATCGCGTCTAATTTTCGCAGCAAGCGGTTTAGATGTCGAGACCAAAAAGACAGCTGAAGCTTCATCGTTTTCCCCAATCGTGAAGCACTAAAGGCAAACAAAGAAAGATGGCAAAAAAAAAAATGGTGAGAAAATGCAAAAGACAGGCAACAATGAAAAAGGCAACTAGTGAAAATACAGAGGATTTGTAAGAGAGAATAAAACCAAGCAATATGGGAAGTGGGCCAAAAGAGGTCCATGGGTTGTTGTAAAGTCAGGGAAGGGATCGCACACCGGCCCATTTCAGTCGATGGACGGATCAAGAATCGCAGCAGTTCCATCGCTCCGCCAGTATTTGTCCCGAATTATCTTCCTCTGGCTAATTCTCCCCCTCTATAAAGAGAAAACGATAGCATAGTGGTAGCAGCAGAGGACAGAGGTGGAGGATAGAAGGCCATATATCTCCTCTCCGTTTCTCTCCCTCTCCGTGACCTTATCCCTCCCTCCTTCCCACCTCCCTATCAAGCCGCCAGTATCTGTTTCTTCTTGTTCCTAACAGCCTCACCGAAGCATAGAATTTCACTCAAAAGTCTGTGCCGTTTGAGCGTTTTCTGCTACCATCTTCGATGGCTTGTAGGTCTCTGACCCCGTCTATCATTTGCCATGGCCAGTCTCTTGAGACAGCCAAGAAACCGACCCCAACAGCAGCAGCAGCAGCAGTGTGTGCTGCATCAGCTGGTCCCGTGGTTTCTTTGTCCTTTTTGGAGAAGCCCCACTTCAATTCCTTGCTCTGTTCATCTAACGAGGGCCATGTCCGAAGACCCTTTGGGTCTTTCGAAAGTGGGTGTGTGAAAAGGCGCGGCCTTAGGCGGAGTCTGAGTAGCTTTGTGACTTCTGCTATCGCCACGCCGAACTCGGTGCTGAGCGAGGAGGCTTTCAAGAAGTTGGGGACTGGTGGGTTCTCGGAGAGTGAGATTGACGTGAGTGAGGATGAGGGTGGTTTCGTGTCTGAGGGTGGCGAGGTTGAGAGGGCGAGTGAGGACGAGCTTGCTCTCTCCAAGCTGGGTTTGCCTCAGAGGCTCGTGGAATCTCTTGGGAAACGTGGCATTACCCATCTCTTTCCCATTCAAGTATGTTTTGTTCCTTTTTTCCTTCCCCTCCCCTGTTGTATCGTAAATTTTCGTTTTGGGTGTGAATTGCTGTTGTTTATTGCTGGCTGAGTTTTCCTTTTTCCGAGCATACTTTGTTGGCTGGATAATTGAGTGGAAAACTTTGGCCTTTGTTAATGTACTAGGCGAACCATGGATGGAGTTAAGTGTAGGCAATTATAATGTAGGTATACTGGGATGTTCTGTGGTAGCTTACATGAGATGACTATCCTATGATGAAAATCGAGCTGTTCAACATTAAGATGTTGTTGGATCTAAGGCTTTACATATGCAGAGTTTCCTTTTTCTAATCGGCTCGATATTCGGTTTCTTTACTTTTGCCAGCACTGGGATAGTTCACTCGTTACTTTTCCCCTTTTATTGTTCACTCTACTAAAGTTTCTTCATGTTTTCAATGGCAAATTCATGTTCCTCATACTGTTGTTTGATTGTTAGAGAGCAGTGTTAACCCCTGCGCTTGAAGGGCGTGATTTAATTGCTCGTGCAAAGACTGGAACAGGGAAGACGTTAGCTTTCGGGATTCCTATACTGAAACGTCTTACTGATGGTGATGAACATAGAAGTTCGAGGTATTTGAGGGATAATTTTACCTTTTTGGTAACCTCCAATGTTTGAGCATTTTTCTAATGACACATTATACTGTAACTGTCTCTTAGACGTGGGCGACTTCCTAGAGTTTTGGCCCTAGCACCAACAAGGGAATTAGCAAAGCAAGTAGAGAAAGAAATTAAGGAATCTGCGCCTTACTTAAGCACTGTGTGTGTTTATGGTGGAGTTTCTTATATTACCCAACAAACTGCCCTTTCCCGGGGGGTCGATGTAGTTGTCGGTACTCCTGGTCGAATCATTGATTTGATCAATGGTAACAGCCTTAAATTGGGGGAAGTGGAATTTTTGGTACTTGATGAAGCTGATCAGATGCTTGCCGTTGGTTTTGAGGAAGATGTGGAAGTGATCTTGGAAAAGCTTCCCTCACAGCGACAGAGCATGCTTTTCTCTGCCACAATGCCTGGCTGGGTGAAGAAACTGGCGAGAAAGCACCTGAACAATCCTTTGACAATTGACTTGGTAAAGTTCTTCTCTCAATAATCTATCTGCCTCCATCTGCCCAACTTCTTGCATGATCCGATACTGGGTATAGGCCTGAACTTTTACATAGTATGGTCACAGAAATGGAGGACTGTGGCTCATCAAAATGTTGTGCGACGGCTTATGTGGTTTGCCTGCTCTTTATTTCCCTGATGTAGGTTGGAGAGCAAGATGAAAAACTCGCTGAGGGAATTAAAATTTACGCCATATCAGCAACTCAAACTTCAAAGCGTACCATTCTAAGTGATCTCATCACGGTAGGAGATGCATCCCTCATATTTGATTGCTTTTTCCCCAATCAAGATACTTGTTTGATTCGCTAACATTTGCATAAGGATATGTCTCTCATTAGGCATTTGTCCCGAATTTCTCTATCATGCTGTTTCTTAAGATTCTTCCTGCTTTGTGAAAGAAGGCTTTGATCTTGTTCTTGCCTACATGATTTATGGTAGGCTTTAAGAGATTGTGCTTATACTAGATAAATGACCTTTTGTATATCTATCTTAGGTGTATGCGAAAGGTGGGAAGACCATTGTTTTCACGCAGACTAAAAGAGATGCTGATGAGGTATCAATGGCACTAACGAGTAGCATTGCCTCTGAAGCATTGCATGGGGATATCTCTCAGCATCAGAGGGAGAGAACTCTTAATGGTTTCCGGCAGGGGAAGTTCACTGTTCTTGTTGCTACTGATGTTGCATCTCGTGGGCTTGATATCCCCAATGTTGATCTTGTAGGTTATTTAGTTCTTTATGTTTGTTTTACCTGCACGATTAGTTTTCCTCTCACGAAGCTATGTCTATAAGAGTAACAAGAGTATATGCATCTCCTAATGCCAGATCATCCACTATGAACTGCCGAATGATTCAGAGACTTTTGTCCATCGGTCTGGTCGTACTGGACGTGCCGGGAAAGAAGGAACTGCTATCTTGATGTATACAAGTAGTCAGAGGAGAACTGTCAGATCCATTGAGCGAGATGTAGGTTGCACATTTGAGTTTATTAGCCCTCCAGCCATGCATGAGGTTCTGGAGTCATCCGCTGAGCAAGTTGTTGCGACCCTCAAAGGAGTTCATCCTGAGTCTCTGGGGTTTTTCACTCCAACAGCACAAAAACTAATTGAAGAGCAAGGTGTAAATGCTCTAGCTGCTGCTTTGGCTCACTTGAGTGGTTTTTCGCAACCTCCTACTTCTCGGTCTCTTATAAATCATGAGCAGGTAGATTAGAAACATCTAATTTGTGGCAATTTTGCTTTTGCTTGTCATCTGTGCTTCTATAACTCTACCTGTTATTAGATTTATTTCAAGATTTAGTGAAAGAAGTGGTTGCTCATTGGGGCACGGACCATTTATGTCGGGAAAATAATTTGTTGATCCTGTTTGCTGTCAAAATTTGAGAACGTGGATTAATATAACCAATGATACCAATTGGTTCTTCAGAACATGGTTTTTGTACGTTTCTGCCGATTAACTGGTAATTCGAGATAATGGACAATTTGCCTGCTGCTGTATCTTGTAATGTTCTACTGTACACATGCATTGTAGGGTTGGGTTACGCTGCAATTGACTCGGGATCCATCTTATTCTAGAGGTTTCCTTTCTACCCGATCTGTCACTGGATTTCTATCTGATGTCTATTCTCCGGCAGCAGATGAACTAGGGAAGATACATTTGGTTGCAGATGAAAGGGTATCTACCAAACCAGAGCACTATCTTTATGAATTTTCCCATTATTTTTTCTTTATTGTCTTGTACATTTTTTGCATATTGTCGATGGTGCCAATGACAGGTTCAAGCGGCGGTTTTTGATCTTCCGGAGGAGATTGCAAAGGAGTTGCTGAGTAAGCAAACACCACCTGGGAACACTATTACAAGAATTTCCAAGGTTGTATGAGAGCTTGAGATACCTCATAGGGTTGAGATTACTGTGGTTTACCTAGATGCAGTTGCTTCCATGCTTAGATATTGCTGTAGTGTCAGTTTCGGTGCTAATTGCATGCTCAAAGCTAATTCACTTGGATCTTGTATATTGACAGTTACCTGCTCTGCAAGATGATGGGCCCCCTAGTGATTTCTATGGTAGATTTTCTGGCAGAGACAGGAGTCGTCGGACGAGTCCTAGAGACCGGAGAGGATCGAGATCGTCCCTAGGCTGGGGCAGTGGTCGTAGTTCTGATGATGATGATGGTCTTTTTAAGCGTGGTGCCCGAGCTTCCAGAACTGAAAATAACTGGAGTCGCACCTCAAGTCGTACCTCAAGAAACAATGATAGTGATTGGCTTATAGGTGGTAGGCGATCCAGTAGGTCATCTTCGAGGGACAGGTATATCTTTCTGCTTATGCAAATCTTGCAAGTATTCCTCAAGCATTTTTGTCCGCTCTTGGAACATATGGAATTGATGTAGTGTTGCAGACTTCGTTTTGGACATTTGATACAGTATCCCCCATTGAGCAAGATATTCCTTTTCACTCGCCAATGAAATACTTTACATGGGCATGTAAATCTCACTGATTCAGCATTGTGTCATGACAGGAGCTTTGGAGGATCGTGCTTCGTATGTGGCCGTTCAGGGCACAGGGCATCTGAATGCCCCAGTAAGCAAGACTACTGATTGTATCTATCTAAATGTGTTGCTCTTCGTACACTCTGAGCGAAAAGTGGAGGGTCCTACTCTGCCGCCGCCATTGCTGTGTGCTCTACCTGCTTGTTTCCAAAAGGTGGGTCAATGTGTCTTTGTGCTGGAGAGACGATCAGAATAGTTACAGTGATCAACCCCGATTTAGCCCCTGAGCTTCGGTATGCTCGGCATGGGCCCTGAGTCAATCCTGCTGACACTCCATACCAAATCGTTGATACTTAGCATCTTTTTGATAGTTTCCCATTAGCTAGAGAAAGGACGCTTCTTTATATGAGTGATCATGTTAGAGTAAAGGTGTGTCAGAATCAGTTCTTGTGAAACCTTATCTGGCTCTTTTTGGAATGGGAGGTTTCCTCCAATTCAGTTGCAAATGGATGCTTCTATGCACTCGTGTCCTCTGGCAATCTTACCATAGGTTTATGAAGAGGATGAAACTAGCCTAAAAGCCCAGGACGCACCAGACCGGAAACATCAGAATTGTTTTATGATGTCTTCCAATTTTGCATGTTGTAGTGATTATTTGAATGATTGCTCTATGTGCTTATGTTGCTCTTCAGAAATGCGACAGATGGGGGACAAGAAAACAAAATCATTTTAGTTCATTATCTTGGCACCACTGGCATGAAATTGAATTAGGAGCTTAATATACATCTAGGTTGTGCTCTCTGAAGTGAAAAGAAGTACAAAGAAAACAACTAGTTCCAAAGGTCCGCGAATTGGATCGATGGTCATGTGAACTAGGAGTCTCGCAAGTCTAGGAACAGAGCGAATGGAATACTGAAACTCTGAAGATGATGGCCAAACAACAAACCTTAGTGGATCACTCTTAAGTTCTGATATTAGCAAACTGAATAAACATAAGAACCTAGATTCCTAGTAGATTAGAGAGAGAATTGCCCAACAAAGGTCTCAAATATCATATTTCATGGCAGAAGACGAGGTTACAAGATATTCTTACTCGCCCCACCTGCTTAATCATCAGAACTGTGACAATGACTTGCCCCCAAATTGATTACTTTTTAAATGAGCACAGCCAAATCATGCAGACTGAGTTTTCGCTCTCCCTATCCCATAGAAGGAGCTATCATTGAACTGAAACAAAAGCTCCACGTCAATGGCTGAAGCTAAGTCCTTGAAGAGGACGTGTACTGCATAGATGATATCCAGAAACATCTAAAATATCATTCTGGTCAAGACAAACTGCATAGAACATCAATTCCCAGGTTACATGGCTTTCTACGCCGGCAAAAATGTCTGCTCTCTAGGATAAGGCTAAATGAGCCGGCTTATATTTCGACCCCTGTCCATTCGACTGTCTCCTGATCCAAAATCTCCACCACATCATTAGCGATGGATGCGATTACTTGCAAGAAGCCTGTGCTGAAGCTGGTGTATCCAGGAGGCATCATTGAAACGCACAAAAAACCGATCACTGCTGCCGAAGTCATGAAGAAAAATCCCAGACACTTTGTGACTCGGCCGGATGTGTTCAAGTACCCCTGGGTAGTTGTTCGGCCCGAGTCGCTCTTGCAACCTGGCGACGTCTTTTATATTGTCCCATTCCATACAGTCCATGGCTTGCTGCAGCGCAAAGCCCGTCAGTATCAGCTCTTGAATCAGCAGCAAAGCCCGGACTCCCGTGCAAGTGAAGATTTCGAGAGGGAACGCGCCCGTGAATCCTTTCGAATAGGATCGTGTCCGTATGATTCTTCTTCAGAAAGGACTAAAATAGTGAAAAGGAGATCTCCAAATGCTTGCCAGAAAACTGAAAGATGCAGGCTCGGTGAATGTGATGCAGGAAACCTCACATCCTCAAAGAAGCACTGTCTTGATCAACTGGGTGAGATCCTGCAGCAGCAGCAACAAGGCCGTGATTCTCCATCCAATGAAAGAAGTAAAGCAAGTTCCAGGCATAGAGTATGTGAACAACTTCTTGAAGAATCATGCACCTATGATTCTTCAGACGAGGTGGCACATACTCATCACCTCTTAAAGAGACGATCCCCAGATGCTTGCCATAATATGCCAAGTTACAAGCTTGAAGGATATGTCAAAGGAAATCGAAGATCGGTGCATCCAGTTGGGCATCATCAGTCTGTGCTGCTGACCCCAACTAAACAGCATCTTGCTATGTTTGTTGAGAAGAATTCCCCAGCCGGTACTAATTTCCAGAGGAGAGTGACATCAGAAAATAACCTTAGCCCTGCAAAACTCTCTCGTCGAAAATATACTGGTGGCAAGCATTCCCCTCTCATGAAAAGACAATCTCTTTATGCTTGCCTGAATATGAAAAGTCCCAAGCTGGGAGAATCTGATTCGGGAAATTCTGGCCGTCAGTCTGAAGGAACAACCTCCAAGGAGCAGTATCTTGAAAAACCCAGAAAGTCATCAGATAGCTTTACTTTTTGGCTCCAAAGCAAAGCAGATGGACCTCCAGGAGATCCCCAAGGTTGGCATGAGTCTTCCCCTGAAGAGGGTGGCTTTCATTGGCACGTGAAACGTCGGCCTCGAGATGTGGAAAGCCCCCGCTATGGAGATCAGCGAATGGGAAGTGAGCGATTCTTTGATATACTTATTGATGGCAAAGAATCCATTGGTTCTGGTGATCGCCAGAAAATGCAAGGACGTTATGGTGGAGCTAAGACAAAGAATCAAACATGGGCAGGTTGTGCACAGGATGATCCGTACAGCCCAAGTGATGACAAAGGGAATCGTATCTTTCGGAAAGGCGGCCCTGAAATGAAGCTTGACCAATCTCGGGATGAGGCCTTTAAATTGAAATCTTGTTTAAAGAAAAATAAGAACAAGTTATCCGGCCGCAGGGTCAGATTTACCCTTCCGGGCGAGGATGACGACAACTTGAGGGTGGAAGTCTTTGAGTTCCGAGACGAGGAGACTCCTTAGAACTCCATGATTAATAAAGTTTTGCTTCTAGTCTTTTTTCTGTCAGGCCTGTTTTGTGATGAACCTCTATGCATCGTTAACTCTCTTGAACACTCAAGAGATAACCTTTACCTCCTTTATATATGATCATTTCTCACACACACCATGGAAAGCATGAGTCCTTGGTGTTGAGAGTACTTGGCTAATAGGGGCATATTTGTCTATTTCCTTTATTATTTTATGTATTACAGCAAGAAGGATAGTATTGTAATTTTGGCCTTTTGACTCTATTATAAATAGATAGCTTGGGGTCACATAAATCTAATCAAGCATTCAGTTCAGTTTTTTCTCTCAACATGGTATCAGAGTTAGATCTGAACTGAAACCCTAACCCTAATCTCTCTTCTACGCAACCTTTCTTTGTCCTCTCTTCATACCTTCACTCTCTCCCACCGCAGTTCCTTCTCATCTTTTCCTTTGCTCTCTTTCACAGTGTAGGGCGGCACTAATGAGGTGATTCTTCGAATCTAATGTCTACCCTAAACTTCACCTCTATGAGATAACTAAAAATTCTTTACAGTCTGCAATAAGTGGTTCAACTTCTTCTGTGATTTTTTGGATCTTCTTGTCTGGAATTGTTTCTGCATTGCCGCTGGCCTACAATTCTCTTGTGTGTGAAGACCAAAGCACTGCAGTTCGTGGACCATCATATTTTTTCAGATTCTTTGGGGTATATTAGAATTATCGATTTTTTTCTTCCCTTGATCTGATCTAGCTGATTTTTTTTTTTTGGAAGATAATTTTAGCCTATTACTAGTGACACAATGTCTGACGGTTCAGTTGAGAACCCTCCACCTACAGGAGATAGCCGTACAGATTATATTACTTTCGCTACGATCTCTGTGAAGCTTGACGGCACAAATTATTTGATATGGTCTCAATCTGTATCCTTGACCATTGCAGGCTGTGGGCTTATAGGTCATATCAACGGCACTTCTGTGAAGCCGAAACATCAAGTGCTACTCAAGACAAGTGGATCTCGAATGACTCTTTGGTAATGTCTTTTTTGCTTAACTCGATGTAGCCACATATTGCAAAAGGATATTTGCTTATTGATAGTGCGGTGTAGATTTGGCCGGCTACTAGGGATACTTATGGTCAAATCGGGAATGATGCACGGGTGTATGAACTTCGAAAAAGGGTTCATGACACTTTTCAGAAGGAGATGACTGTATCTTAATATTATGCTGAGCTTCGGAGTTTGTGGCAAATGTTAGATCATTATACCGATTATCAACCAAACAATGCTATAGACATCGCTGCCCACAAGAACCATGTGGACAAGATCAGAGTTTATGATTTCTTGGCAGGATTGAATGTTGAATATGATCAGATACGTGTTCAAGTCCTTAGCCGGTCTACATTCCCCACTCTGAAACAATCATATGCCCTAGTTCACTCAGAAGAAAGCTGTAGGACAGCAATGCTCCACTCCTCTACTATTGATCGATCTGCTCTTCAAATCAGTGCTGGCACTATTACTAAATCTAGTTCGTTCTCTCGATTTAATGATACCCCTAAGGAAGTTGTGAAGTGTGAATATTGTCATAGGCCTTATCATATTAAGGCTACATGCTGGAAGTTACATGGAAAATCTGCAGATTTTGAGGTAAAAAAGGCACAAAGAAAAGCAAAAAACAAAGCAAAGCATATTGAAACTGTTACTGCTACACCTACTACTGATATCGGTTTATCCCAGAAAGAACTTCAGGCATTTCGACGTCTACTAAAAGCTTCTACTACTGCTGCTTTCTCCATAGTTGCCAATTTGCCTTCCCATTTTGCTTCAAATGTAGCCACTTCAGGTATCTTTTTTGGGGGGTTTAATACATCTGTTGTTTCCAGCCCATGGATCATTGATACAGGGGCTACAGATCATATGACAGGTTCTTCTAGTCTCTTTCATCAATACACCCCTACTTCCAGTAGAGACAAAGTTTGTGTAGCTAATGGAACCCTCTCTTCCATCGTTGGAAAAAGGGTCTATCAATTGTTCCTCCACACTCTCCTTGTCTTCTGTTTTACATATTCCATCATTCTCTACTAATATCCTTTCTATTAGTAGTCTGACTCGAGACTTAAATTGTAAAGTAACTCCTTTTCCTTCTTATTGTATTTTCTAGGATCTGGTAATGGAGAAGGAGATTGGATATGGTAGATTGGATGGTGGTCTTTATCTGCTCGAGGGTAGTGGAGTTTCACTTCTACTTCGTCTACTACACCCCATCAAGTTAATTCAGCATTGACAGATCTCCATCAGTGGCACTGCAGATTAGGTCATTTCTCTTTAGGAACTTTAGAAAAAAATTTCTCGAGTCACGTTTCAGCTTGTAATAAAGATAAGTTTTTTTGTGAAGCTTGTGTCTTTGCTAAACAAACTCGTTCTACATATTCATCTTCAAATAATAAAAGTTGTTTCCCTTTTCATGTGATTCATACTTATGTGTGGGGTCCTTCTCGACGTACTTCTATCTTTATTGTGATTGCAATACCTCCAAGCATAACACTCAAGCTAGAGTTTCCAGTCACATATGTGCGTGATGCTAGAGATTTCAGTTCGGACGGATGGGGTGAGATTTTTTGCACATAACACTCAAGCTTTGATCTTCTATAATATTATTAGAATATACTCCTACACCTAATACTTGATTTTTTTTTTTTTGATAGATCATTGAAACCTTGTGATGCTATCATATACGTCATCTATATTATACTCCTTTTGTTGTTTATATATGTTCCCTCAGAATTTTGGCCATATAGAACAAATACCAAAGCTATATTTTGACAAGATGATGATTGGTTCATTTTCTTTCTTTTCGTGAAAGGGATTCGCTAAGTAAGCTGAAAGACCCATATATTGGAAAATGTTGAATGCTGAATCTGTACTGCATATCGGACATGATCCTCCAAATTTACCAATGAATCATGGAATCTGAGTAGACAAGGCAAAATATCATTTCAGGTAGTTATCTTCCTTGTGACGGTAATAAAATTTACAAGCAGAGAGATGAATAAGTTCCGTTAATGCAAGTTCCATTAGTATCTATAATCTCCAAGCTCACTTAACTGTCTCATCTTGTCTAAAAATCTCACTGTTGAAATATACTTTTGCGAAGAGTGTCTGCTATTAAAGTACCTCTTACTGAATTACATAAGGTAGTTCAATGGTTATTCACTGTTTAATGAGAAGCTGGCGTGGGTATTTTATTGAAAAAAGAAGCTAATTACCACAGCTCTTTTATAAGGCACTTCATTACTTAAGGCAGAAACATTGTAGACCTCCCATTCTAGTTGGGTTTCCATGCTCACACAAGAATCTTATGAATACTAACTTTATGGAGAAAGTAGAAACTCGTCACTGTGTAGATAAACATTGAAGGGTCTTGTGTGGTGAACACCGATATATGCCTGGTCAGAAGATGCTTCTGCTTAAGCCTCGTACTCAGCAATTGCAATTCTATGCGTTAACTATACCGTTCACAAAAACTTTACAACACTGATTCATCCAATATAATCACTTGTTCAGCTACTACATGTTACCATTAATGTACCCTCATATCCTGTATAAATTTGGCCAATGAACCCCGTAAATATGCCTGGTATTCTTCACTTACGAGCATCTCTGAACAATTTGAAGCATGAGGACTTCTTTCCACTCCAGAACCATCCAAAAGCAATGCTGGCTCGCATGTAGTATCTTGGCCATTTCGTTTTGGTTCACTCACTCTGGAAGGATTTTTGTTCACATTATGATGCATCACCCAGGAGGTGGTTTGGCCGTCAACATGTTCATTTGGGTTATGCTGCGGCAAAGCCAAAGCCATACCAGGCATATCTCCATCCAGTATTTTCAACACCTGCAAAAAGAAATGTTCTTTAAGAAAGTCCTAGTGTCGTGGGGGAAAAGGGTGCAGTCATCAAAGAATAAACAAGTCGGTTCACTTATTGACAACGTGTAATTTGTTTTCTAGGTACATTTAAAGACTTCTAGTGGTGTTGAAAGATACCTGCGACATCCTTGGTCTTTGTTCTGGCAGTGGTGAGAGACACAATTCTGCAGCGTGCATCATGGCATCCACTTCCCATTTTACGCACTTGTCTAACAGTTGTGGATCTATTATCCCATTAATCATCCCCCTTTTCAGCAACGGAAGGCCCTGCACAACAGACAAAGGAAAAATGACGATATTAGAGACTACTCTCATCCTGTTGTTTTCCATTTTTTCCAAGTTAAAAGTGCTAGATAATCAAAGTGAGTCTACCAGTTATAAACTAACAAAATAATGGTTCTTTGAAGTTTCTCCTATGCAGTGTAATGCAAGATGGTGAGAAGACTTGCCCAATCAGACACAAACTGTTTTCCAGTACTTCTTGAAAAATCAGTGGCCTTAAAGCCACTTAGTAGCTCCAACAGAACTATCCCATATGCATATACATCAGCTTTCTCTGTTATAAGCCCAGTCTGAGTATACTCTGGAGCCAAGTACCTACATAAACATTAATTTATGTGTAAGAGCCATTTTCTCTGATAAAATAATTTGCTGGAGGCTAGACTGGAAATTCAGTAGAATATTGATTGCTTAGGTCTACTTAGAAATTATTCCATGCTTGTTTACTAAACCAGATTCATAGATCTCGTCCAAAAAATCCAAAAGGAGGTGACCGTTCTTCCAGTCATAAGTAGGAAAGAAGGCACTCCATTAATTTACTCTGCAAGAAAATTAGTCAGTAAGATATTTATGGGAAGCTTGCTAATAAGTAATACCAACATTAAGGAAAGTTGCCTCTGGAAGCAATTGCTTCACTGAAGCTCATTGAGACAATCAAACAAGATATGAACTCGTAGTCTCATAGGAGGCAGAGAAAACCATTAGCACGTAGAGATTACAGTAAGATATTTATGGGAAGAACACCATTTTTAACCAAATTGTGATGCTGAGAATTAGAAGATTATGATAGAACAATAGTAAGATTCAGTAAATACCCAAATGCACCAACAACCCGTGTCTCCTCGGCTGCTTGGCCATCTGCTTGCCACCTTGCTAGGCCAAAATCACCCACCTAAATGTGAGACACAGCTGTCAGTAGCTAAAATCACTCACTACTTTCATATGTGGAATGTATTTCATTCAAATCACAGTTCCCACTGACAGATGAACAAGCTATTGACTTAAGGCATCATAATGAGGCAATGCTCAAAACCGCATCTTCATGTAGTCTAACATAATGCTTGTGAGCCCATACATTTATGAGGCTTTTGTTTTCTGCTATATAGGTTGGTCACTGAATCACATAATTATTTTTCCTACCACGTTCACAATCTGGAAGAGGCAAATATGTGAATTTTAAGAAAATTCATGCCATGAACGAAGTCGATGCAGGCATAGGTATTGAAAAGTATGTAAAGAATAGCGATGGAATTACCATGGGTTCAAAGTCATGGGTGAGGAGGATGTTGTTGGGCCTGAAGTCTCTATGTATAATGCATCCGACTCGACAATCTTCATGAAGATATCTCAAGCCTCTTGCAGCTCCTATTGCAACCTTCATCCGATTAGGCCAGGTCAGCAACTCGGATGACTCTTTTCCTGGAAATTTTATTTGCCTATCAGATCAAGTAATTTTTGCATGCGCAAGTGTCTATCACGATATGGCTTTATCGGAACTTCTGATGGTAAAGGATCCGATCAAAAACAAAAGGAAGCATAAACAACTACAGCATTACAGAGCTTTACCGTACAGATGCTTGTCCAATGAACCATTGCAAGCAAACTCATATATGAGGAGCCATTCTGTTTCGATGCAATAGCCCACTAACATCACCAAGTTCTTATGCTGTGCACAACTCAGCACTTCAATTTCGGAACAGAACTCTGATGCACCTTGTGCACTCAAGAACTTGTGCTGCTTCACTGCAACGACTTGTCCATCGGCTAACACTCCTCTATAGACAGGACCAAATCCACCTTCTGCCAAGAAGTTTTCTGCTGCGAATTTATTGGTAGCTCTTTCAATCTCTTCGTAACTGAACTTCCTAGGAGCCTTACCAAAATGCGGAGCATTAAGCTTACAGACAGAGCAGAGAGGTGGAGGTGTCGGGGGATGTTTAATTGAGAGAGACACAGCTCTCCTGACACTCGATATTCGTGGAATACTAATAGAAGGGACTGCTGTTGGTTGATTGTCGTGGAAAGTTGAAGGGTCTTTTCTTGTGATCAGCTCTTTTGACTGTTGTGGGCTGTCTGCTTTTTGCCATAAGCGTGATGAATCTACTGATCGTCTCGCTGGGACTGGAACCATGTTCACTGCTTTAAGATTATTACCCTTTGCCATTTCTGCTTTAAAATAACAAACAGCTTTAGCGTGTTAGTGCAAAGCTCTTTCAATATGTTTTCTTTCATTTTGGCTTACCGCTTTTAGTCTTCAGAGGACCACTATAGCTTTTCCTTTTTGGCTCCAAAGGAGTAGCTGATGCTCTAAGAAGTGTCTCGTCAATGTTGGAGTTTGACACCTTCCTCACCGATTGATGATTAGTATTTTCCACAGAGGGTTTGAATGCAGCCTGGATTTTCGTCTCCTGGTGGAAATACTGAGAATTGAGATGTATACGCGAACTGTACAGCGTCACATCTCTAGTGGTAGCATTGAGCAAGTAAAAGGGGTCCTTCTCTGTGGTAGAAAGTGAGGACGATGTGTCTGCCTTAATATTTGGACTTCCAAACCCGAGACTGCTATGAATCGCTGGACTGCTATTATCTTTATAGTTGTATGCAGTAACTACGCCAAGCATGTCAGCTACTGTGGGGTCATTTTGGTCCACTTTAGTGTTAACTTTCTTCTGAATATGGGGATTAACTGCTCTCAGGATCCTTGGGATGGCGTGGTCTACAAGTACTATGTTACAGATCAATTGTTTCAAACAGTTGTCACCCTCTTTCTTCAACCGTCTGCAGTTTAAAGGCTCTCAGCATCATTAGTGCTCTAGTTAATCACTCAGAATAGGAAGAATAAACACGGTTAATTCATTGAGTCGTTATGAGGAATTCCCCCTAGATATTAAGGATAATGTTTTTCACAAGAATTGAGATGTGGGCATAAGATTACGGGTGCTTACCTATCTAGAACTACCCAGGTTGCTCCAAGCTCTCCAGCTGCAGTCGCAACTGACCCTGGCTGTGCATCTGTTATGACTTTGACTATACTGTGCACCTATCACTCAACAATATGCATCAGAAATGACACTAGCAATTTAAAACTACACCATCACTGTTTATCATAAACCACAAATGTGATTACCTGCTTGATTTTGTGAGCCGAAAATACGTGCCACATCATAAGCTCACAAACACCTTTCACCTTCAGGTTTACATCAGTTTCTACTCCATCGTTGAGTGCTCGGGCCATGTTATCTAACGAAATCTTGTCATTGTGGCTGAGACCCCACTTCTTGAGCAAGCCTAAGGAATGACCACAGGGTCACAAACATACAACAAGAATTTTAAGAATTACATTAACAAGCTAAATCTGCTGTCTTTGGGATGCTCACCAGAGAAAAACCACGATGTCTTAGACTTATGTGTCCTATCGGCACCAGCGGGAGCTTTAGAAGGAAGAACGGCAAATAGGAATACAGAGTCCGAAGTCTTGGTCAGATTGCGCACTGCCCATTCGAGAGCATAATCCGTTATCTCTTTACTTGCATCAACTGCCACAACTATCACTTCACCATCCATCTCTCATAGAATTATGTGAAAGGCAAGAACATAAAAGAAGTTGTAAAACTTCCTCAGATAAGTTGAATTGTGGAGACCTTGGAGCAACAATAAGCAAACTTGGAGATGGAATCTGGTGACCTCAAGTACACCACTCACCCTGATAAACCATATGGGCATCAATTACAATTGCAATGAAGTTTTATTCTTTTTTCGTGGGAAAGCAATATAGAATGGACAAACTGAAAAGACAGGCTGATCACTAAAATTGACAGAGTCCATGGAGGATGGATGAGCCACCACTGGGCAGCACAGGGTGAGACATTTGATATGTTCTCTGTCTATATGCATTTGGAGGGAAATGCATATTCTCTATCACATATCAGATAGGGACAACCACAATAACTCTTTCTATTTAACGTATAATTTTTTGAAGTGCTCAAGTTTTGACCTTTTCAATGATTGGAGGGTCTGTCTGCTTCATTTTGATACAGCCTATGCTGTGTTTTGATAGCGACATGCTTTTTGTGTTCTTTTTCTAACTCAGTACCTTGGTGCTGCTTTTGTTGTGCGCATCTGATGTCGCCAGCTATGTCCATCCCCCATTATAAAATTGTCTGGGAAATGATCCGCATTTGGTCCAACACCTTGCTAACTCTGGTACTCCATTATGTGCTCTATTATATATCCCGCGGATACCTTCAAACTAACAGTTTAAAAATCCTTTTTACATAATAGAAATAACAATAATAACAACGATAATGATTATTTATCATACTTATGGTACTAATAAAAAAATGAGGATTCATCAGACTAAGACAACAGAACCTATTGATCCTGCAGCTGATTTGTCCTTTTGTCAAGTTAAAGTAACGGGACAGATATTTGGCATGGTCGTAGTTGCTTCAATGTTCTTCTTTTCACAATTTGAGATTAAAGTTAAGAGATACAGCAAAATGTAAACATCAGGTTTTTATTATAGTCTGATGATGCAAATCGTTGCTGAAACAAGCTTGCAAAGTGAAAAGGGGGGGGGGAGGGGGCGGGTAAAAGAATCGTTGTTTTCATTGCCCCTTTACCCTTTTATAACCCGAAAGATCCCGTGTTCGGACATTATTTCTGTTAAGTACAAAATAAGGAGAGCTAGGTCATTTTGCATAAAGAACACAGCTATTGAGTTGGTTGGGTCATAGAGCATGAGGATGTCCTTGGATTAATTTTCTGTGCCTAACAGGAAGACACGAACAAGATCGACAATATAAAAGGCATGTAGGCAGGAATTTTGGTAATGGGCTTGTCCAGAGTAGACCTTGTTCCCATCAATATGATTATTTTGAGATGTTTTCCTAATGTTAGGTAAGGATGACATCCTGATATAGATAGACCGTCAACAGGCTAACCCTAGTTCCGGAGCATTTGGCGGAAAAATATTACTCATAAGCACCGTTTTTTTTCAACTAATGGATGTTCTACATTATTAGATCTAAGAGGCTTCCGTTTTTTTTCGAAAATTTTCCAAAAGTGTTGCCAAGCTTAGAATCAGCTAAAGTCTGGGTCTCAAGAGTGACTGTAAACCCCAGATACAGCAAATCAGAAATTTTTTTGCTGAGATATAAAATTACTTAATTGCAAAAGGACTACAGATCAAAGCGTAAAGCATTCCCACAAAGAAGCATCAAATATAAATACATGCTAAATCTAATGAAACCAATGGTAATCCATGATTAAACACTTTCATCTGGAAGCAATTAGATGCGCTCGACTCAAACAAGTCCCAGATGCTATTTTGGCTTAATCACACAATTGTAATCTATAGTGGTGAAAACAGAAAAACAAAGCCGATGTCATCTCTCGTCCCAGCTGCTCTATGTCCCAGAAGACACTAATATTTCCATTAATCTCGCTTGCCTTTGTCACCTAAAGGAACACTTCCCCCGCTGTGATCTCACCTTCGTATGATAGTCAGGTTAGGACCTTCATTACATCTACCTAGCAACTTTAGCAGGATCCATAAGCTGCTCCCATTCAATCTCATGCTGGTTTCACGATTTAAAAATATTTCCATCATGAGATTGACACATGATTCTGTCACTTAAGAGACACTTCTGTTTCATCTGCGTCCTGCTTCTTTCATTTTCTCAAAGAAGGCTTCTTCGTCCAATGACATGCTGTTGTGGTAACTCGAATGAGACTTTATTTGGCTTCCAAAACGATTTGCTGGTAATCATTCTCACCCATTTTGTCCTCATGATCAGAATATTCCCTTTTCTCGCCATGAAAACTGATCTCCAAACGACAAAATTTTCTCATCTATGTCCACCACATCAGAATGTTCTCTGCAGTAATCTTGTCTGCTGTCACTGTCGTCATCATGTTCTGTTTCTCCATCATTTTCCTTGGGGGAATGAAGCTCAGGATCCGCAAGAGATGAACATGGTCTCTCATCTGATGCCCCTGAAAGAAAACTGAGAGCAGTCACGACATCACTCATCAGTGGTCTCACAGATGCTTTCTCTTGAAGACACATCGCAGCAATAGCAACGGCTTGATTTAAGTCTTTCTCGGGAAATTTCCCCTGGAGTAGCGGATCTGCCATTTGTGGGAATAGTTTAGGATCTCGGAATTTCGGATATGCCTGCATATTATCCAATCACTCCATAATTAGTCAAATATTTTGATTGATTTTGGTGTATGAGTCCCACAATTACGATCAATACTTAAAGCAGTCCAAAACGTTTGATGAGAAAAATGCAAATATGAAAAATGCATATTACCCAAGCAACTAGATTCTGCTCCTCGCTGGGTTTTGTGGTGTCAATTACTCTCTGTCCAGTGATGAGTTCCAGTAAAATTACTCCAAAACTGTAAACGTCAGATTTTGGTGTTAACTGTCCTGTTGTTGTGTATTCTGGAGCACAATAGCCATAAGTCCTCATCACCCTGGACGACACATGCATTTTATTACCAGCAGATCCAAGCTTCGCCAGTCCAAAATCAGACAGCTTTGGCTTAAACTCTTCGTCCAACAAGATGTTTGTGGACTTTAGATAACCGTGTATAATAGGGGGATTGCAGCTACCATGCAAATATTCGAGGCCTTTTGCTGCACCATACACGATCTTCATCCTGACAAACCAGTCCAAAGGTTCCTCATTTGGCGCAACATCTGCATTTAAGTTTTGGCATAAAATCCAGCCATTAATTAGACAAAGAAATTTTTCTCCAGAACAAGAGGTGGAAATATGTATGGTTCATCTTGTGAAACACATTATACTTCATTAGAGTTTGAAAGCTGCTCTGTTAGCAACAAAAGAAGTATACACCAGTACTTTGCATGCAAACTCAAGCAGTTTTTCCTTCTTCTTTCCTAAAGCATCATGTTGCCATTTGAACTTCTAAAACTTCCACAAAGAGGTACCTTTTTTGTTTGCTTTTGGGTTTGGTGGAAAGCTTTTGGTACCAAGCAGATGATCTTCCAGTGTCCCCCCAGGCAAGTATTCGTATACCAGAAGCCTCTGATCCCCATCGGCGCAATAACCAAGGAGGTTGACCAGATTGTCATGGCATACTAGACTCAATGTCATAACTTCATCAAGAAACTCCTGGTTTTCATGTAATCCATTTCTGTCAAGTTGCTTTACAGCCACCACCAGTGGACAATCCTGAGTAGTGAATCAAAGAGCTTAATTGCCTGGAAAAAAGGAAAAAGAAAAAGAAAAAGAGCGTAGAACGGCACTTTTATTACCTGACCACTACCTTGAAGAGTGCCCTTGTATACCCTACTGAATCCGCCTTCTCCCAACAGATACTCCGGTCGGAAATTCTTTGTAGCAGATGCGAGCTCACGAAAAGTGAAATGTTGCACTTTGATTTTTTCACGGTCCACCTTGTTTGGCTTGTTTTGGGTTTCACCAACTAGTTTCTGCTTCTCAGCCCCTGCAGCATTAAAAGACGGAAAATTTACACCAGCGCACTTTCTTGAACATTAATTCACCTTAACGACAACACTAGCATGAAGGTCAAAAGTGGCACATGCTGTGAATTTGATATGTGGAATAATTAGATAGTGCATAGCCGAAGGCAAATTTAAAATGCCCACAAAAAGGTTCTCTCCACAGGTATGAACTTTTTGTTTGAAGATCAGCAGAGCAAATCAATCTGTAACCCCAACTCATCTTCCACATTTCAAGGCGAGTCTCCAATACATTGTACCTTTTTATTTGGCTATTCTACTACCCAATGCTCTTTGTGTTACATAAGCTAGAAGAAAGTGCATGAGTAAAATCAAACCATATTTGGATCTGCGGTAATGCCATAGAAGTCTCAACCTTTTCCATTCTAAATCTCCGCTTATTAGAAACAACAATGCATTATGATCCACTGCGGCCCAAATTTTCTGGCTCCTTTAGGTCAAACCTTGAAAATACTAAAAGATGGCGGATGGAGAAATGAAACTTAAATGTAGATATGGTGGTGTTTTAGGGGGCAATATGAACATGGTGGATGAACTTGAATCATCTAGAATTTGCATATGATGTAATTCAAAAGAATTAAGGAAAACAAGCAACATATGCAGTCTTACCGGGTGCGTGTGATGCGTTGTGGCCTTCGATTGGAGTCAGGTGCTCCCTCTTAATCTGTTTAACGTGTGATGAGAAACAGGGGAAGCAACTCATGCCTGGACACAGATCAAGAAACTGTCTTCTTTCACATTAAGAATCCTGTGAAAAGAAATACCATGAAAGCAGCCCTCTGAAGGAGGCCAGCAAGGAATGTGGAAGGCCAAGGGTCCTTCAAATTTTGGAACACTCACAACAGTTTGAAGGACCCCTCAGACAATTGATGTTGGAATCAACAGGATGAAGAACAATCACCAGATGAAAGAGCCATTTTGTGGTCTTCTTTTTTGGGAAGAAGATCCGAAAATTTTCTCCGATCTATAAGGTGAATTTGGCATAACAGAAGAGGAAAATGTGGGATTTTTGGTAAGTTCCTCCATGGTAAGTCAGTTACGAGGAGAGGACCATAGTTGGGTCTGGTTCATGGAGGCCAGTAAGGAATGTGAAAGGCCAAGGGTCCTTCAAATTTTGTTACACTCGCAACAATTTGAAGGACCCCTCAGACAATTGATGTTGGAGTCAACAGGATGAAGAACAATCGCCAGAAGAACGAGCCATTTTGCGGTCTTTTTCTTTGGGAAGAACATCTGAAAATTTTCTCTTATCTGTAAAGTGAATTTGGCATAACAGAAGAGGAAAATGTGGGATTTTTGTTAAGTTCCTCCATGGTAAGTCAGTTACAAAGAGAGGACCATAATTGGGTTTGGTTCATGTTTATGCCAGCTGTTTTATAATTGGTAAATGCAGAAAATTTAACAAAGAAGATCAGATTTAAATGCCCTTCCAAATATAAAGATGGACAGTGGATTGATTCATATTGCCCTAATGTTTTTTCAGCCAAACATATAATCATAATTCAGCTCCTCATATGTCCGCCTTCCTATGTATATCTCGTGAAGATGAATCATTTGGTCAGCCACAAAGAAGGTAGCATTTGCCTTACAGAGCCTGCCTTGCTTGTACCTAATCATTCTCCATGTAAATGCTTTAATACTGGCCAAAAACAAGAAGGCTTTCCCTGTTTTCATTGTAGCAATGACGTGTTCCTTTTTTATTGTTATTCCGGTGAACCACGTTAATGCCATCTATCTTATGCTTAAAGTGTGCAAAATTTGATTGTGCCTATTCTGGTTCTCTTACTGCCGAAAGCGATAAATGAGTTCGAACCGAGAGAAATTATAGAAGAATGGTCAAGATGGAACTAAAGAATTCCGGTCATTTGATCATGTCTAGTCAGAAAACCAAATGGCCCTGCGTCGGGCATGAAATGGTTCAATTAACCATGAAAAGAGAACACATTTAGAACCACAACAGAACAGAAATGCCATACATAGAATGCATCTTAGATAGATAAAAAGCTCATTTGTAAAAAAATAACCAAACACAATTACATTTTCTCAAATGGCTTTCAAATGATTTTTTACCAAACGCCATTTGTATTTGCATTCTCCAAATGAACATTGGAAATGCTGAACCAAACGGGCCCTAACACAGCTTTGAACAGGGTCCAGTTAACACCCCCTTGTAAAAATTTATTCTGTGACATATTATGTGAATTAATCATCTGTAATATTCACAATATCCCCATTCACCTCATCTCTGTCGACCTATGCGCTGACGACTGCTTTCTCGGGGAGTCATCTGTGTAGGACGAAGCTCAATCCGCTGGATGACTAGCCCGGATTTCCAGTTACCACTTTTCACCTCCATCAAGTTTATTTGAACCTCCCCAGTTGGAGGGTTGCTCACGAAAAACTCACCCAAATCGACCTCCTTCCACCCATCTGCTCTGTCCCGAGGAATTTGTTTGTCCCTAGCCTGAACAACTCTCACCGCGGATGCACCAAGGGAAATACGCAGATATCTCTCTTGCCAGGTTTCATACTGCTGCCTAAACCTCCCGTCAGGATCCAAATAAACATTGCCTCGCTCACCCGCGGAACCAGAAAAGATGGACACTTCCACTGCTTGATTCTCAAAGCCATAGTTCCCATGCACAAACTTGAAGATAAAGTAAGCTGCATAATATGTGTCAGCAGACAGAAGTCGCATCTCCATCTTGGCGTGAACCTCAAGCCAGCATACTCTAAGGAGCTCTGCCACCTCTGGGAATCTTTCAGATAAAAGAACAGATTTCAGTAACCTCACAATAGATGCCAAACATAAGAAGACAGAGGACAGTCTCCACAGAAAAAATGGAAAATGTAACAGCAGTTTGGAGATCGGATGGACCTTGAGACGTGGAGTGAAGTCCATCTCCAGTAGCAAGGAGTGTCACCCCATACTATAGACAGATCTCAGGTGCCAAGCATATAACACTTCTTCCCGCTCCATTTTTCAAGTGCAAAACTCTGCACATGACATGGAAAGATCATTCTATGCGATATATTTGGAAAACCAAGATGACACCGTCTCTCCATAAGGAACATGATAACAGTGAAGGATAATTATGGGGAGCGAATTACAAGTAGGTATATATCTTTCAGTCATTTATATGCTGAACAAACAATGTATCGGACAGAAATGATATTCCTCGAGACATGATTCCCAAAACGATTATAATAAGATTGTTGTACTTAAATTAAGTATATGGGATGTCGATGATCTCCACTTTAACAAAAACGAAAAAACAAACTAGAGTAACTTCTTTGGCCATTGCTTCAAAAAGACAATTGCAACCAGGTTGTGTTCTTTGAACTTCTCCCAGTAATGGTTACTCTAGGATTAACACCTTCCAAAGCCATTCTCTGCTTTCAACAAGTCCACCCTCGATTCAGACAAGAACATCACGTTTTAGCATGCATGGAGACAATTCGCCCTGCATTCACAATTATATCATCACGTACGTGCGAGCAGAGACTGCACCAACGGGATAATTTGACTTCCACAGCAGGCTTCTCTATGGAACAAACAATGCTCCAATTCTATCCCCAACTTTAACTCAAATCCCGCTACACCGCAACAGCCATTCCAAAGCATAGCGTTCAAAACCATCCCTAACTCTGGTATTCAGCTCCTGCAGGCAGGGCACAAATTCGGAGCACAACCGCCCATTTGAAATGATGCCTTTCTCACCTACCATTTTAACTTTAGATTCATTCTAGTGAGTATCGCCAGTTTCTTCAAGACTGCCCAGCACAAGCAGTGAAGCCAAAACCAACCAACCAGCCAACCCAAGTTTAAAAAAGCAAAACAAAACAAAATCGAACCCGAGTGCTGAGCCAATTTCCGCAAAAGCTAAAAGTTTAGTTCACACGGTTCATGCTTCATACCTGTGAGACTACCCTTCAGGTGCAGGCAGATGGAATGAGGGAACCCCAGCACTAACGTTGTCAGGCACTTAATATCAAACCCATTTGTTCTAATAACACGCAGATAATGGAGAGATTGCAGCTGATTACGCTAATTATTCTGAAAGCCTGCAACTATTGGAAAATGGCTCAACTTTTGTCTCTAACGCGTATGATCGGCCATGGTCTTCGAGAAGCGGATTACACAGAACCGGAGTTCTGTGCAGAAAGAAGTTCAAAACCCTCAAGCCGATCTCAAAGACCGTCACCTTTCACTCCAACATTCGACAAAATCAAACTCCAGGCCCACAAGACCCGACAATCATTTCACCTGGCGGCCGGCGTAAAAACCCAGAATTCGGTCGAGAAAAATCAAAGCACCTTGCGACCGGAGTAGATGAGAAGAGGGGCGCTGCAGAGACGGAGGAAGACGTCCTTCTTCCTAGTCAGCGAGGGTCCAAGAGGCGGCTGCGGCGGCGGCGGCGGCGGCGAGGAAGAGGAAGTGGAGACGATGAGGTCGACATCGGGGGGGGGAGGAAGTTGAGCCAGGCGGCGTCGGAGTCGGAGGCGGAGCGGAAGGCGCGGGAGACGGCGGAGAAGCGGGCGGCGTCGCGAGGGGTGGTGAGGGAGATGATGTGGGCGATGCACTCCTCCGGCAAGGCGTCCAGCTCCACCATCTTCTTTGGGGGGGGGGGGGGATCGATGGCGTTCGAACCTCCGTCCGACGTTCTTTGTTTTCGATTCGGACGACGGGATTCTGCGTCCGAGGTTGCTGCTGACTGCTGCTGGCTACCCCATGTGCACAGGCACGAAGCACGGAAGCAGATGCTGATTAGTGCTTACAGTTTCCAGCTTCTTTTTGTTGATTTTGCTGGTTTTTGCGCGCCCCGAGCCCGACCCGGAATAAAACGGTTTTTCATTGTTTTGAGATGTATATAGATATCCTTCGAAACGTCAATTAAGGGTAGAGATATGCAAAACGGACCGCTCAAACTGAGAATTGCTCGGACCGGACTGGATTGGCCGGTTTGATCTGGTTCCCTGGAGTATTGATCCGGTTCTCAGTTCCTAAAAGTGTAACCGGTGTCCGAGCGGTCCGGTTCCTTTTGGAACCGACTACATGTGCTTTTTTTGTTTTTTATTTCTTCGAAAAAAATTAGTAAAATGTGGACTGAACTTAGGATGTTTTTCGGTTTGTCTTTTCAATTTGAGGATCATTAATACTATTTGATCATTCGCGGTTGCTAAATAATCATTATCTCTCGATAATTATGGGTTTATTTTGTTGTTTTCGATATGCAATTTATAAATTTGCTTTTTAATTGTTGTTTATCGTAAAAGATATATCAGCATATAGTTAGGGTCCTTTTACTCGGATCTTTTTTTCTAAAAAAGTAGTGAGAAACACAAAGAGATGGCATCAAGTAGTGAAAAAAAAAAGTAACTGGTTCCACTGTACCGGTCCGGTCCCCGGTTCTAGGATCAACCGAATCGGGAACCGATCACCGCTAATTAAGGGGTCACTCTTTCCCTAAATGGGATAAAATAAAGAAGATGAAAAAAAACTAGAAAATATAACTTCTTCGGTCAAATAGAGTTATCATAATAAAGGGATTCACTTAAGTTAAACTCCTCAAGCAATTCTTTTTCATTTCTTGTGCCCTAATGGAAGACTATGCTTAAGGGTGAGCAAAAGAACCATATCAAATCGAAAACCACCCGGAACCGGCCGATTTCGGGCGATTCCTGATTCCTAAAAATCGGAACCGGCGAATATCAGTCCGATTCCTGGTTACAGGTATGGACCCACCTAGGGGTGAGTATGGTTCTAGTACCCTAGAACGTGAGAACTGACCAATGGGAACCTGTAGGTTCCAGGTTCCAAGATATACAGGGTAGGTTCTAAGTTCTAAAAATTGGGGAACCTGTTTCGATGGGTAGATTCTAGGTTCTAGGTAGGTGGAACTTGGAACTTGAACCTATTTTCTTGTGATCCTGCGGTGTTTCATGGCATTAGATGATAAATGTATAATTTAGAACCACTAATCTAAACTTTCATTATATGACTTGTTAATGTTTCATATTCTTCATGTATCTAAATATAAATTGTGGTTAGTGGATCATAGCAGTAAGTGGTGGTTATTAAAGGTGATGACTCACTGCAATTGTTCAATTAATAATACAGATGGAACCTGAGTAGATTCTATAACCGACTCTCGAACCTGTGATAGGGTAGGTTCCAAGTTTCAAAAAATAAGGAACCTATTATCGTGGATGGAACCTATACGGAACATAAAACTGCTCACTTCTAGTATTAATTCACGCGATAACTTCTCATTTTAGTTATATTTATTTGAACCGTAATGCCAGGAAAACTAATCTTTTGTATTCTCTTTGATGAATGACAAGCTTGTTCAGTATTATTGCGTTCATTTTTGTTTTGCTTAATTAAAAATGCAATAAAAAAAAGAACCTATTAGACCCTATAACCTACCCTGGAACCTATGATAGGGTAGGTTCTAAGTTTCAGGTTCCGACGGATAGGTTCTAAGTTCTAAAAAATGGGAAACATGTACCCGAGGATAGGTTCCAGGTTCCACATGGAACCTATAAAGAACCTAAAACCTAGAACCGCGGAACCTAGAATTGCTCACCCCTAGACCCACCCATCCGAACTAACTGGACCAAACTAGATCGAGATATATGATATATATATATATATATATATATATATATATATATATATATATATATCATAGGCACACTTTCTTAAATCTGCCGGAAATTTGGCACTAGCAAGCGTTTGCTCATTACTAGATGAGTAAGTATGATTCCTTCTTTCATTTGTTTCATATATCAGAAATGATTTTCTTGTGTAGGGATTTTGAAGGTTGTCTATTGCCACCTTTACGTAAGAAACCTCTTCCTGTCATAATTAGCCCATTTTCTTTTGGGTCTTGGAAGGAACATTTTAACCCTCCTTGTCACTGTTGACTCTTTTGAGATTTTTTGAATCAAATCATGATAAGAGGGACATCAAACATTGTGCAGTAGGTTAAATTTGCCTCCTTCAGTTATGTTCACAACATTTACAGTAGCAGAGGTTCATTCTTCATTCTCTTACGAACTTTTAACATTTGCATCTTGCAGAAGTATATAGGAGGAGAGTTGGAACACACATTTGAACTAATCTGCTAAAACAAATTTTAATTGTTTCCTTTAGTGAAAATTGCTTATTTGCATTTGCCCCAGAAGAATATATGGGAAAATTGGAACATCTACTTGAACTAATATGCGAAAAGAAATGTCAGAAATTAATTATGTTCTCTTTTAACGAAAAATGCTTTGTTATTTGACGGATGATTTTGGCATGTTTTCTAGTCAATTACAGTTGTTGATCTCCCTTTTCAGTTGATGTTTACCTTAATTGGCCCAAAATGTGAGAACTGGCCAAGAAAGGATTCCATAACGTCATGGTTGGTCCCTAGACCCACCCGATTTCACAAATTGGAAACCGACTCTTCTGATCCGATTCCCAGTTTAAGGGTGGGAACCGACCTACCCTGAAACCGATCACCTCTAATTGTGCCAAGCTAGTCGATGGCGATTAATCTTAGAACTCGATACTAAGGGCGAGAAAGAAATTTTCCATTAATATATCATATATAAATTTGAGGGATTTTTTGATCTGGGGAGACGAGGACACCGTCGGATCACTAAGGCCGACTTTCGTCTCTGCTCGACCGGTGGATCTTGCGGTCAAGCTTCATTCTGCAGGACTCTAAGAAAAATGGAATACTAGGTCGATCAACCCTAACTAAACTCTTACTTCATAAATATTTCATTAAAAAATGACTGAGTTATTTTTGTTATCTCTACATTATTTAGGGATAATTTACATTTCCATGACCTCATAGTTAATCATTCATAATTGAGTAGACCATTGATAGAAGTAGTATCCAAATACCAAATCCGCCCCTATATCACCACCGTTTCTCTAAGTCAGTAAGTGTTTGTACCAGTTTTGCTCATGACATGACTCAAATTTATGTTCTTAAGCAAAATAGCATGACAAAAACGTTAATCTTTTCTGCATCTTTTGTTTCTTCTCTCTCAATGAAAGATTACTACTTCTTCTTTTCTTTTTTTGGGTAGAGAATTTGGTAGTTTTCGGGCCAGCTTTTGCGCATTTCAATTGGTCCACCTCTTAAACGATCTTAAGAGTGCACACCCCCACGTCGGCCTAATACAATCCAGATTTTACTCCTGAAATGTTCCAAAGAAGGGTTGAACCGATCAATGATAACTTTTCATAATGGTCCTCCCTTTTTATTAACACCCCCTAGTAAATATTTGTTCTGTAACATCTTACGTGAAGTATAAATCATCTGTAACATATACAGTATCCCCATTCACCTCATCTCCATCGACCGATGCGCTAACGACTGCTTTCTCGGGAAGTCATCTGTGTAGGACGAAGCTCAATCCCCTGGATGACTAGACCGGATTTCCAGTTACCACTTTTCACCTCCATCAAGTTTATTTGAACCTCCCCAGTCGAAGGGTCGCTCACGAAAAACTTGCCCAGATCGACCTCCTTCCACCCATCTCCTCTGTCCCGAGGAATTTGTTTCTCATTATCCTGAATGACTCTTGCCGCGGATGCATCACGGGCAATATGCGGATATCTCTCTCGCCAGGTTTCATATTGCTGTCTCAACCTCCTGTCAGGATCCAAATAAATAGTGCATCGCTCACCCGCGGAACCAGGAAAGATGGACACTTCCACTGGTCGATTCTCAAAGCCATAGTTCTCATGCACAAACTTGAAGATAAAGTAAGCTGCATAATATGTATCAGCAGACAGAAGTCGCATCTCCATCTTGGCGTGAACCTCGAGCCAGCATACTCTAAGGAGCTCTGCCACCTCTGGGAATCTTTCAAATAGAAGAACATATTTCAGTAACCACACAACAGATGCCAAACATAAGAAGACAGATGACAGTATCCACAACAAAAAAGGAAAATGTAACAGCAGTTTGGAGATTGGATGGACCTAGAGACGTGGAGTGAACTCCATCTCCAGGAGCGAGGAGTGTCACCCCATACTATAGACAGATCTCTGGCGCCAATCATATAACACTTCTTCCCGCTCCATTTTTCAAGTGCAAAACTCTGCGCAAGACATGGAAAGATCATTCTATGTGAAATATTTCGAAAATTAAGATGACGCCATCTCTCCATAAGAACATGATAATAATGAAGGATAATCATGGGGAGCAAATTATATCATTCGGTCATTTGATATTCTGAACAAACAGCGTATCGGACATGTATGATACTCCTCGAGACAAGATTCCCAAAACGATTAAACTAAGATTGTTGTACTTAAATTAAGTACTTAGGATGTCAATCATCTCCACCTTAACAAAAACGAAAAAACAAACTAGAGTAACTTCTTCTGCCATTGCTTCAAAGAGACCATTGCAACCAGGTTGTGTTCCGTGAACTTCTCCCAGTAATAGAATAGCACAAAACATAGAAGAACTATCACGCTATGAACTTTTCAATCGAATGCACTTCACTCTTTGATAAGTCAACCGTCCAACATTAACCAAATGGTTAGCATAGATGGTCCATTTCTATATCCAGCCCAAACAATTCTAGGAGCAACACCTTCTAGAGTCATTCTCTGCTTTCAACTAGTCCACCCTCGATTCAGACAAGAACATCACATTTTAGCACGCATGGAGACAATTTGCCCTGCATCCACAATTATGTCATCACATACGTGTGAGAAGAGACCGCACCAACGAGACAATTTCACCTCCACAGCAGACTTCTCTATGGAACAAACAGTGTTCCAATTCTATCCCCAACATTAACTCAAAACCCGTTACACCGCAACAGCCATTCCAAAGCATAGCGTTCAAAACCATCCCTAACTCTGGTATTCAGCTCCTGCAGGCGGTGCACAAATTCGGAGCACAACTGCCCATCGGAACTGATGCCCTTTCTCACCTACAATTTTAACTTTAAATTCATTCTAGTGAGTATCGTCAGTTTCTTCAGACTGCCCAGCACAAGCAGTGAAGCCAAAACCAACCAACCAGCCAACCCAAGTTTGAAAAAGCAAAACAAAACATAATTTAACCTGAGTGCTGTGCCAATTTCGGCAAAAGCTTAAAGTTTGAGTTGACACGGGCCCTGTTTGGTTCAGCATTCCAAATGCTCATTTGGCCTCTAAAGTCCCTTGGCCAAATGCAAATAGCGTTTGGCAATTTTTTTTACTCACTTTGGGAAAATGCAATTGCATTCGGAATGCTGGCCAAGGGACCTTTGGCCAATGCACCTCTGAAGGTGCTTTGGGAAGTTGCATTTTCGGAATGCAACTTGCACTATTCATTGATACTGTTCATCTTCCCTAAACTGACGTCCGGTGGCCGGCGGCCGCCCCCTGAGGGCTAGCCCGACTCCGGCGACCACCGCCCAGGGGTCGCGCGACCCTCAGGCGACCACCGCTGGGGGTCGCGCGACCCCTGTGCGGTGGTCGCCCGAGAGTCGCGCGACCCGGCGACCGCCGCCTGGGGTCGCCGGACCTCGGGCGTCGCGGGTCTCGCGACCCGGGCAACGCTTCGCCTGGGTCGCGAGACCCGGGCGACGCCGAGGCCCCGCGACCCGGGGCGGTCGCCGGGTGCGCGACCCCCGGGCGGTGGTCGCGAGAGTCGCGCGACCCCGGCGACGCCGCCTGGGGTCGCCGGACCTCGGCGTCGCCTGGGTCTCGCGACCCGGGCAACGCTTCGCCTGGGTCGCGCAACCCAGTGTGACCGCCCGAGGTACGGCGACCCCAGGCGGCGGTCGCCGGGTCGCGCGACCCCAGGCGGCGGTCGCCGGGTCGCGCGACCCAGGGCGGTGGTCGCCGGCGACCAGATCTGGCCGTCGGCGGTTGGCCGGCGACCAGATCTGGCCGGAGGCGATGGCCGGCGGTGTAGCTCCACCGGAGCTTTTTTTTTTTTTTAAAAAAAATAGCAAAAGTCATTTAGCCCAAGTTGATTTTACAAAACACTTACCAAACGCTACTTGCATTTCGGAAAACCCCTTTAGCCCAAAGGTATTTGCATTCTCCCGAATGCATTCCCCCAAAGCCGAACCAAACGGGCCCACGGTTCATGCTTCATACCTACGAGACTACCCTGCAGGTGCAGGCAGATGGAATGAGGGAACCCCAGCACTAACGTTGTCAGGCACTTAATATCAAACCCATTTGTTCTAATAACACGCAGATAATGGAGAGATTGCAGCTGATTACACTAATTATTCTGAAAGCCTGCAACTATTGGAAAATGGCTCAACTTTTGTCACTAACGCGTACGATCGGCCATGGTCTTGGAGGAGCGGATTACACAGGAACAGAGTTCTGTGCAGAAAGAAGTTCAAAACCCTCAAGCCGATCTCAAAGACCTTCACCTTTCGCTCCAAGATTCAACTAGATCAGCTTCCAGGCCCACAAACCCGACAATCATTTCACCTCGAGGCCGGCACAAAAACTCAGAATTTGCTAGACAAAAATCAAAGTACCTTGCGACCGGAGTCGATGAGAAGAGGGTCGCGGCAGAGGCGGAGGAAGACGTCCTTCTTCCTAGTCACCGAGGGTCCAAACGGCGGCGGCGGCGGCGGCGGCGGCGGCGGCGGCGGCGGCGGCGGCGGCGGCGGCGGCGGCGAGGAGGAAGAGGAAGTGGAGACGATGAGGTCGAGATCGGGGGGCAGGAACTTGTGCCAGGCGGCGTCGGAGTCGGAGGCGGAGCGGAAGGCGCGGGAGACGGCGGAGGAGCGGGCGGCGTCGCGAGGGGTGGTGAGGGAGATGATGTGGGCGATGCACTTCTCGGGCAACGCGTCCATCTCCACCATCTTCTTTTGGGGGGGATCGATGGCGTTCGAACCTCGGTCCGATGTTCTTGTTTCCGACTCGGGACGAGGAATTCTGCGTCCGAGGTTGCTGCTTACTGCTGACCACCACAGGTCCACAGGCACGAAGCAGATAATGCATCCAGTTTCCTTTTTTTTTTTTTTTTAATTCCACAAAAAAAAAACCCCAACTGTTACATTATAACAAATTTAGCCAAATACTAATATAATTGTAACAAATTTACCCCAAATTAATTTTTTGACCACCAGAAATCTCAAAACGGTACATTTGTGACAAATTGACCCACCGTTAGTTTCCATTGAATTAGATTAATACCGCGAAAAATCACAAATCGGTACATCTGTGACAAACGGAAGGTAAAATCCTATACTGATACATCCTCACGTATTATCAAACTCAGTAATTTGATGATAAAGTTTAATGGAAATTAACATAAGGTAAATTTATCACGGATATACCAGTTTGGAGTTTTGGGTGATCAAAAAATATAAATATACTAGTTTGGAGTTTTTGGTGGTATTCACCACTAGTTTTTTTTTTCTATTTTCTGGTTTTCCTTGGGGCCCCACTTCTCGGTGCAGCCAGAGCCGCCTTCATACCGCACGCCGACGATATCACCGGTGGTTGGGGGGGGGGGGGGAGGGTGGGGTGTTGGGCGGCTTGACTTCTCTAATTGTGAGAATGGAGACGCCAATGAAGGCCATAAAGGGCAGAACTGAGCCGACTGGGGACCGCACGGTCGTTGCCGCTGGACGGCACCATCTCTTGCGAACTCTCCGGCGCATCTTCAGCGGTTCCTACGGACGCAAGCAAGGGAAAATGATGAGAGTAACAGCCGATAGTCGCCACAGAAATACGCATAAATACGTCATTGCATGCGGCCGACAAAAAAGAAAGGCGATTGATGTAATTCCGCGCGTTCATTGATGAAACGTGTCGGTCACGCTCGAGTGAATTAAAGAGTCATTTCATATATGAGGTGAGATCACCACCGTAATCAACTCAATCGGTCGAGGAAACGCAAATTAACTCAAGCACCGGGCTCCCAAAAACCAGTGACGGAAAAGAATTTTGTACCTACTCGTGGTTAGTTCTGATGTTCTACCATACCCACATACAAAATTTGATTATGCCTATTCTGGTTCTCTTACTGCCGAAACCGAAAAATGAGTTCGAACCGAGAGAACTTATGCAAGAATGGTCGAGACGGGAACAAAAGATTTCTGGTCATCTGATCATGTCTAGTCAGAAAACCAAATGGCCCTGCTTCGTGCATGAAATGGTCCAATTCACCATGAAAAGAGAAGGCATTTAGTACCACCGACAGAAAAGTAATACCATAAATAGAATGCCTCTTAGATAGATATACATATTCGCACAGCTTTGACCAGGGTCCATTAACACCCCCAAGTAAAAATTTATTCTGTAACATCTTATGCAAAGTATAATCATCTGTAATGTTCACAAATATCCCCCATTCACCTCATCTCCGTCGACCTACGCCCTGACGCGATTGCTTTCTCGAGAAGTCATCTATGTAGAGGACGAAGCTCGATACCCTCGATGACTAGCCCGGATTTCCACTTATTAGTTTTCACCTCCCTCAAGCTTATTCGGATGTCCCCAGCTGGAGGGTCGCTCACGAAAAACTCGCCCAGATCGACTTCCTTCCACCCATCTCCTCTGTCCCGAGGAATCTGTTTCTCCCTAGCCTGAACTTCTGTTGCCGCGGGTCTCTCTTGCGTGGTTTGATATTGCTGTCTCAACCTCCCATCAGGATCCAAAAAAATAATGCACCGTTCAACAGCGTAACCAGAAGAGATGGACACTTCCACTTCTTGATTCTCAAAGCCATAGTTCCCATGCACAAACTTGAAGATAAAGTAAGCTGCATAATATGTGTTAGCAGACAGAAGTCGCATCTCCATATGAAGGAAAACCTCAAGCCAGCATACTTTAAGGAGCTCTGACACCTCTGGGAATCTTTCAAATAGAAGAACAGATTTCAGTAACCACACAATGGATGCCAAACATAAGAAGACAGATGACAGTATCCACAGCAAAATTGGAAAATGTAACGGCAGTTTGGAGATTGGATGGACCTTGAGACGTGGAGTGAACTCCATCTCCAGTAGCGAGTATCCCAATGCCATATTATACCCAGATCTCTGGTGCCAATCATATAACACTTCTTCCCGCTCCATTTTTCAAGTGCAAAACTCTGCGCAAGACATGGAAAGATCATTCT